ATTTTTAGAACTTTTAAAGAGAAACAATTTTGTCATACATTAATTTAGCGAAACTTTAACCGTTTCCGCAGCGCACGCAGCGGAAGCTCTCAAAAGGGAAAATACCCCGATTTTGAAACATTCTTTATTTGTGCTCCGCTTGTATTGGTCTTAGCGTGATGTTATATAGCTTTATAGCCTTCCTCAATAAATGAGCTAACTGACACTGAAATAATTTTTCAACCAGTAGTTCCTGAGATTAGCGCGTTCAAACAAACAAACAAACTCTTCAGCTTTATAATATTAGTATAGATTTACGTTCTAATGTAAATTCCGTTGGAAATCCTCCAACAAATAAACAATCAGTACTAAAAACAAACACTAAATTTTCCGACGAGCTTGAGATCCTAAACAAACATATTCAAATGCGTTACCCATTCATTTATACGCCGAATTCCGAAGTTGCCTTTTTGAAGTACGTTAAAAATATTATGAAGAGCCTTTTTTCCTATTTATGCCGGTAGCCTTGAAGGGTTAAGCCTGAGTTTCTCGCCGGATCTTTTCAGAGGGTCGCGTTTCCGATCCGGTAGTAGTTTTTCACTGGTGGTAGGACCTCTTTGTGAGTCCGCACGGGTAGGTACCACCACCCCGCCTATTTCTGCCGTGAAGCAGTAATGCGTTTCGGTTTGAAGGGTGGGGTAGCCGTTGTAACTATACTGAGACCTTAGAACTTATATCTCAAGCTGGGTGCCGCATTTACAATGTAGATGTCTATGGGCTCCAGTAACCACTTAACACCAGGTGGGCTGTAAGCTCGTCCACCTATCTAAGAAATAAATAAAAAATTCTGCGAAGCACTGCTCTTGCTAGGGCCAGTGCATGGCAATACAACTGTGCTCTGAGGAATTGTTCGAGATGATACCGGCATCTCGTTTTTACCATCGCACCGCGCGCCACCGGAGTAGAGTTCATCCACACTACCTGGAGCCACTGCGGTCATCCACAGTGCGTTTCCAGAGGTCTTTTACCTACCCGTGCGGACTCACAATAGGGTAAACTTCCCGAGGGATACAAAAGGACTTAACTATATTCTCAAACCAGTCCGAACCAATTTCAAATGACATTGAAGTTGAAAACTTCTCTCAATGTCCTTTTGTTTCTGGCTCTCCAATATTCAAATAACACATTACAAATATCATCGAGTAGTTCTTAGTATGGGCACTCCCTCGATTACAGGAAAACATTGTATTTAAAACACAACAATGCTAACACTAATGCATACAATAATACAGGAATATAAGGAAACGCAAGCCAATAAATTCAAAAACAATAGAATGTCTTTAAAAAAAATATCAAACACTAATAATTAAAAAAAAAACATGTTTATTGCGTTGATAAACCAGTTTTAAGTCTAAGTGTACTTAGGGCGAGTTTTTTAACTTCTCGATCGCGTAAAAGTTAACTCAAGGCACTGGCCCGAAAAAAAAAAATTGTACGGTGTTGGAAAGTTTGCCTGCGTTTTCCGCTAGGGGCGCTGTTCCAACTCCATACAAAATTGAGTTGACGTTTACGCGATCGATAACGTTAAAAAGCTCGAACTAAGCACACGAGTTCTTTGACTCCTCTGCTACGGCTCTGCCGCGAAATGTTCAGGTACGGAATATTATTTACTACCTTGCCTTGTACGAGACGAATTAAACTGTTTTTGAAAAACAAGCCTTTAAAAATATGTGTTAAAAAATTGAATAAATTTCAATTGTGGGTTTAGTACAAATTCTTCTAATGAAATACGTACTTAACAAATGTTCATGAATTGACTTCAACGGTGCAGGAATAACATCGTGTAATAAAAATCAAACCCGCAAAATTATAATTTGAGTAATTACTGGTGGTAAGACCTCTTAAGTCCGCACGGGTAGGTACCACCGCCCTGCCTATTTCTGCCGTGAAGCAGTAATGCGTTTCGATTTGAAGGGTGGGGCAGCCGTTGTGACTATACTGAGACCTTAGAACTTGGCGCATTTACCTTGTAGACGTCTATGGGCTCCAGTAAACACTTAACATCAGGTGGGCTGTGAGCTGGTCCATCCATCTAATCTAAGTAATAAAAAAAAAAAAAAAAGTTCCAAGGTCTCAGTAGAGTTACAACGGCTGCCCCACCCTTCAAACCGAAACGCATTACTGCTTCACGCAGAGATAGGCAGGGTGGTGGTACCTACCCGTGCGGACTCAAAAGAGGTCCTACCACCAGTAAAAGAGTATATTCGAGCCGTAATGCGGAGCTGCTACGCTGCAGAAATATGCAAGATTGCAGTTATAACCGAGATGGACTTGCAAAGCGCAGTACGCACGCTCAGTAAATAATTCTCAAAACAGATTTATATGGTAACATGTCGAAAGGATTAACGCATTATACATTTATCACAAAGGAGAATTACCAACTGTGCTCACGTACTGTGCAAATAACATTAATCTTCTTCTATATAAATTGCTGTTCGTTAGTCTCGCTAAAACTCGAGAAAGGCTGGACCGATTTGGTTAATTTTGGTCTTGAATTATTTGTGGAAGTCCAGAGAAGGTTTAAAAGCTAGATAAATATGAAAATGCTCGGAATTAAATAAAATTAACAATTTCGTTTTTCCTTTGATGTGTCCCCCGTCAGACGAATTCCTTTTGTTTGTTTTAAGTTTATTTTATACAAAAGTTTAGGACTTTTGTTTATCGATTGAGGCACTACGAAGTCTGCCGGGTCAGCTAGTTGTTTATAAAAATATAACAAGGAAATTTCTCAATTTGTCTGTGATATACTTGGTCAAATATCTACAAAAATTATTTCTCGCATTCTCAATTATTTAACAACATAAGACAATTGGGTAAATCCGGAATGCTTTCCTAAATGCGGTGAAATCACACGAGCGTGTTAAGGGAAATCCAAAATGTGAAGGTCCATGTTTTTTGTTTTTTTTTTCAAAATGTAATAAGACGTATATACCCGCCATTTTTAGTAATATGACCTTCTACATTATTTCATTGATATTTACAAGATAACTTAAGTGATTCTTTGGGATTTAACAGACATTTATAAGAGTTACTCGCGTTAGGAGGTTATTATTCGTGAGTCATTATGAATCTTTCTACGCTAATAAATCTACGCAAACTTACAATTAGATGAATTATAGTTTGCATTGGTTTTTCGGCTAACATATTCAGAATGTCCGGTAATCAAAATGGTTTTAAAACTGGGGTTTCACTAATGCTTTTGAATAGTAATTACTTTCTTAAAATATCGGTTGACATTCTTAAACTTTAAGTCGTCGTGGCCTAAAGGATAAGACGTCCGGTGCATTCGTATCTAGCGATGCAACGGTGTTCGAATCCTGCAGGCGGGTACCAATTTTTCTAATGAAATACGTACTTAACAATTGTTCACGATTGACTTCCATGGTGAAGGAATAACATCGTGTAATAAAAATCAAACCTGCAAAAAAATATAATTTGCGTAATTACTGGTGGTAGGACCTCTTGTGAGTCCGCACGGGTAAGTACCACCGCCCCGCCTATTTCTGCCGTGAAGCAGTAATGCGTTTCGATTTGAAGGGTGGGGCAGCCGTTGTAACGCCGTAAATGTGTAGCCGCAAATGACGCTTAGTTGATACAAAATCAGATCTTTTTACACAACAAAAAGTACACCATGCAACATCAAATTCACTAATGTAGGCATCTAAGCGCTTTATTTACCACATGACTGTGGAGGTTAGAAATAGGGAAGACTATCTTATATCGTGAACAAGTAGAAAAAGTACCAACTTGCTGTTTACAACAGCAAGTTATTGTTAGAAGACTCACCGAAATAGCATGTGTATGAAGCGGAAATGATATGAATATAGCAGTTTTGAACAGAGTGAAGTGTGCTTGGTTGAAAAATGTTATATTTTACGTAGCTTGTGTCGTTAAAAAATATGCAGTATTTAAATTTTCAACTATGTATTTTTATTAATATATCTTAATTATAGTATCCTACTCTAATTTTTTTTCACCTACCTAAACTGATAGCCTTGAGAGGCTATTTCAGCGTAACCTTAACTAGTAGGTGAGCTCACGGGGCTCAAACCTGACGACGTTGCTAACCGAACCCTAGCAAGAGCCGTGCTTCGCAGGATCTATCACCGGATCGGAAACGCAACCCACAAAGAAAATCCGGCGAGAAACTCAGTGGGCTGTGTTTGTGGGTTCATTTACTCGTCGAGCCCTTCGTCGCAAGCGACGGGTTCGACGAGAACGATGGCTGGTGCTTGAGGTACCTAAAAGCACCGTTAGTGGATCGGGAGAATCCGAAATGACGTGCTTGGGGCGACGTCGACTACCTATTTTCCATTCTTTCCGCAGGATTGGGAATGAAGTTACCGCTGTTTTTAAATTCTTTCCACTTGCTACTATGGCGCCATCTTATTTGGCTTCCTTTCAGCGTACACTTTTTAATACAGTGAGATGGTCCTCCGTACTTCTAGCCTCCATTCGTATACTTAATTAAGTGTATTATCTGATCCATTTGACTAAGCTTGGTTCATAATGTTTTAAGTTTGTCGAAATCAAACAGATTTTAATGCTTCAACCATCTATTGACAAACGGCGAATAAAAAATATTTAACTGTATCGGCTATTTTTTTTACCTAACCATTAAAAAAATGTCGGATTGCAATTAAAGCTGCCAAACCTACGAATAAATTATTTATTCGTAGTGCCAAACAAATACGCCAATGTCAATGTATGGCTCACATTGGCGTATGTATGTATGTAAGCCAATGTCATACGTCAATGACTTTTTCGCGGGAACGCGAGAAGCGAAGTTGTGTGAATAGTTTTATTTATCTATTTAGTAAAATTTTAGGCCGTATGGAATGGTACTTTTGCCTTTCCAGTTGGAAAAATAGAACTACATTGCCATACGTCAATTTTCAACTTGACACTTGACATAGATAGCAGATGCCAGATAGCTTCATTCAACTTTCAACAACCGGAAAACGGCCGTAAGAAAGAACTCTTCACAATCACAACAATTAGTTTTAGTCAAATGTCTCGAAAATGTATTTTTATTGTGATAAATGATAATAACCTCTAATAATTTTTATTATGTCGGAAACTTCTAATAATATAGGAGCGAGGCCTGGCTCCATATTCAGAATTGCGTTAGAAAACTTCCTGTAAGTCAAAATTGTGTATTACCACTTTATTTATTACTGATCACAATAAATTAACTCTTTATGCTTAAGAACACAATCTTAGTAAAAACCGAATAGTTTTATTACTTAACAACTACGCAATTGTTGAAATAGATTTACTAGAAAGAGAGTTAAAAAAAAATTGGCGCGTAAATTATTTTTGAACTGCTTTTCCGAATAAAATTTGGCAAACTGTGTAACCTATCAGGACATCGGCCCAGTATAACCTGATAACAATCAACCAAAGAATCTACTCTAATTTAGATATTATGTAGTTATCTTATCCGAAACACCACTAGTGCCGTATACAAATTGAACATATTATTAATTCATTTAAAAATGAATGGCTATTTCTGAATAAGAAGCTTACAAAAAGATAATCAAATCTTTCATTATTTGATTCTAGTACATATAAAGAAGTAGAGCTGTTCCCAAACACATCACTGAACCTGATCATTGGTCCCAATGGAACAGGGAAGTCTACGTTTGTCTGTGCAATCATACTTGGACTATGCGGTAAGCCCCAACTTACGGGCCGATCAAAAAAGGTAAATAAATAAAATTTGTTAAGAATAGAAATCTCATGATATGTGTGCACAGTTAACAAGATATGAATCCTAAGGTCTCAGTGTAGTTACAACGGCTGCCCCACCCTGTAAACCGAAACGCATTACTGCTTCACGGCAGAAATAGGCGCGGTGGTGATACCTACCCATACAGACTCACAAGAGGTCCTACCACCAGTAATATTCATGATAATTACATTTTATATGGCTATTAGCTGTAATGATGGCCAATGAAATAAATGGTTTGATGATTACAGATAAATGACTATGTGCGCACTGGATGCGAAAAGGCAAAAATTGAGATAGAATTATATAAGGAACCGGGTGAAAGAAATGTGATTATAACGAGGACTTTCAATTTGCGAGGAGAGTCTTTGTGGGCGATTGACTATAGAAGTGTGAAAGAAAAAACTGTTCAGGATTTAGTAACTAGTTTGAAAATACAAGTAAGTAAAGTCTTTGCAAGTCAAGAGCTGAATAAAGGTGGATCTAAATAATATATATTGAAGCAGGTCTTGATAATTATTCTTAAACCTTATTTATGTTCACTAACAATTCAGTGTGCAAGTACTTGAATCATCAGAAACAATATAATGATAATAAACACAAGATTAAACTATAAAACTAGTTATAATTATGTTCGTAAAACAATGATGATTTCAGTGCATTTTTACCACCGAGAATCACAAAAAAACTCAATTCTTATCTTTCGTCCAGGTGGACAACCTATGCCAGATGTTACCGCAAAACAGAGTCCAAGATTTCTGCCAAATGAACCCTCAGGAATTGCTCAAGAGAACGCTAGCAACGATCGGTGACCAGGAGGCCATAGGGCAAATGAACAATTTGGTAAATTACAGAACCGAACAAAGACAGTTGGACAACAAAATGCAAACTAACACAAAATTAATCGAGGAACAGATGACATTACATGAAACGTTAGTATGAAAATATTAAATACTTTAACATATAACTCGGCACTCAGTCTCTGGTAAAGAAACGATAATAATCAGCATTTCAGCATTTCAGGGTGGAGTCTTTGTACTATAGAACTAAGATTTAGAACTCATACCCCCAGTATAGAGCTGGCATTAACATTATCAATATGTTTGGCCTCCAGTAAACGCTTCTCTTATAACGTTTTAGCTTAAAAAAGAAAATAGAAGCTATGCGACATCGAAACGAGTATGAAAAGAAAATTAGTATATGTGAAAAGAAGAAACTGTGGCTTCAATATAAACTGTTAAGTGCCAGAGCGGCGCAGACCGAGACTCGCATGGCGGAGGCTCTGAAAATAGTCAAGGCTAGTCACAAGAAGAAGCAGCCATTGGAAATGGCTGTACAGAGATTGAGAGAAGAAAAAATCAAATTGGAACAGGAAAGAGCAACAGGGGTGAGTTAAATGCTCTTTTTTACATATTACTGGTGGTAGGACCTCTTGTGAGTCCGCGCGGGTAGGTACCACCGCTCTGCCTATCTCAGCCGTGAAACAGTAATGCATTTCGGTTTGAAGGGTGGAGCAGCCGTTGTAACAATACTTGAGACCTTAGAACTTATATCTCAAGGTGAGTGGCGTATTTACGTCGTAGATGTCTATGGGCTCCAGTAACTACTTAACATCAGGTGGGCTGTGAGCTCGTCCACCCATCTAGCAATAAAAAAAAAAATGCGATTTTGTCTCTTTTTTTGACTTATTGTGTTAATCATATATTATAATACTGTTGTTGAAAGTGATGTCATATTGCCACTATTCCATTTAAAATTCAAATAATAGAAATGGTTTTATAGTAAAATCTACTCTTACAAGAAATAAAATAGCAATTTAGATAAATAACTTGCTAAGTTTACAAAGATTCAGTTTACGATTAGATCTTTTTTTTTATATTGCTTAGAGGGGTGGATGAGTGCACAGCCCACCTGGTGTTAAGTGGTTACTGGAGTCCATAGACGTCTACAATGTAAATGCGCCACACACCTTGAGATATAAGTTATAAGGTTTCAATATAGTTTCAACGGTTGCCCCGCGCTTCAAACCGAAACGCATTACTGCTTCACGGCAGAAATAGGCAGGGCGTTGGTAGCTACCCGTGCGGTTTGATTTTTATTACACGATGTTATTCCTTCACCGTGAAAGTCAATCGTGAACATTTGTCGAATACGTATTTCATTAAAAAAATTAGTACCCGCCTGAGATTCGAACACCGGTGCATCGCTCAACACGAATGCACCGGACGTCTTATCCATTAGGCCACGACGACTCCAAAATATCTGATAGCGTGAGTAATTTATCATCATTCATATGAATCCAAAATAATTTGTTCAATATTTTAATTTATGTTAACAGAGTAGAAAAATAAATGAGCTAGCGGATAAAGTGAAAGAGCTGCTAAACGGCATCCAGGACTACGATAGACAGATCAAGGAGGTGGACCGCGCTTTTGAGGAGAAGCTGCAGAGGCACAGGAATAGAGAGAGAGAGTTGGTCGAGGCCAGAACGAAACTCGACAAACTGAAGAACGACAGAACTAGCCTCATTGAGAAATTCGGCGACGGTGAGTTCACTAGACACATGGTCCATGGTCTAGAACTGAGGCGAGAAAGTCACTGAATCAGCACAAACCACATTCCTTTTTTTTCTCTTATCTTTAAGATATTAAACTTGGAGAAAAATTAAAAACAAAAGTTCGTAAGAAAATTCTTTTGTATGCTATTTGATACAGTTTTCACAATGTGGCAGCTGTTATCTATCACACCTAAGGTTTCAACCTTATGAACGAAGGGAGGTTGAGGAACTCAGTGTGCGTAGTGCTAGATTTTTAATGTTTTAGATAGCTAACTCAAATTTGTATGGAGTTGGAACGTTTGCCGTTACCAAACGTTTCCGACGTTTCAAATACTGTTGCAGTTCAGTTTTGGTCACATATGAGTAAGGTGTGTTATTCATCTAAAAACTAAATAATAATAATAATTAATAATAACTAACTTGTGAACTGTCCATATAACTACAGTAAAAAAACGCCAAAGTAAACCATAAAAACAATGGTAATTATGGCTTCTCTGAAGTTTTTACAAAAGCAACTTATCCGGGCATTGACATCTTTCAGAGAAAATAGCAAATGAGAGAGCAAGAGCGCTGAGGGAACGTATAAGCGAAATACAATCACAAATCCACAGCATTCAGAGAAGCAAAGCCAGGAAGGAGATGGAATATGAACAGCAGACTCTACCCAACCTTAGGATATTGAAAAACAAGTAAGCTTATTTAGTTTGCACTGGAGTTTCCAAGGGCCGACCGCCGCGAGACGGGGCCTGGCTGACCTGTTTACATAATAACAACAAAACGATAATGAAATGTGTTCATAATATTGTTACGCCGGTAAGAGTAGCGCCATCTATCGCCGAGTAGCCGAACGGATATCGAAGGATCTAGTAGCACCTAGAACGTTCGAGGAGTACAACGCCATCTATCGTTAAATAGCGGAAACACAACGCAAGTACTCGACTAGTGAGGAATGTTCTCGACGATTATGGGGATGTCGTATCGACTGTAAAAGCCTTGTAGAGATGGCACGCAGTCACCACTTCGATAAAGAAGCACGACACGAGAACCCTTTCATCGTGGCCGCCGGTAACTACATTCCCGATCCTTTTTTTTTTTTTTTTTTTTTTTTTTTTTTTTTTTTTTTTTTTTTTTTTTTTTTTTTTTNAGTCGACGTCGTCACAAACACGTCATCTCGGACCCTCCCGATCCACTAATGGTGCTTTAGGTACCTCAAGCACCGGTCACCATTCTCGTCGAACCCGTCGCTTGCGACGAAGGGCTCGACGAGTAAATTAACCCTCAGACACAGCCCTCTCAGTTTCTCAGTGGGTCGCGTTTCCGATCCGGTGGTAGATTCTGCGAAGAATGGCTCTTGCTAGGGTTCGTGTTAGCAACGTCGTCAGGTTTGAGCCCCGTGAGCTCACCTACTAGTTAAGGCGACGCTGATATAGCCTCTCAAGGCTATCAGCTTAGGTAGGAAAAAAAAGACGTAGTAAGTCAGTAACCGGAACTACTCGAAGCGAAACAGCGAACGGATCACCTGAAGCGAAGCGGAAGAAGCGAATTTGTTTTTTAAGGATTAGTCTAAGTGTTGAATACAGTTTTAAATTGTACTTTGGTGGAAAATTTATTTATCCCGAACACCAGCGCGTAACAACCTTATCTGTTCCGGTAAATGATCTCAGGACCTACATGGTGCTAGCGGCTATCACAAAGATATCACAACCTCATCCCCTCCCCTGACACAAGGTCTAAGTGTCAGATGTATCCTATAAAAGTTCTTCCATCTATCAAACCGGAACGCGGCAGAAATGAGCGAGGTGTCGGGCTCACAATGCATTCTACACCTAGTACCTTAGGGTTCCTTTCTGTATAACGCTATATCGTCGCTGTAAAACCAAAAATCTGCTATGTGCAAAAACTCTACCTATTTTGAATTAACGATTAAAAACATTTATGTATAAACTTTTATATGAAGGTGAATTTTTAAGAACTATAGCAAATGAAAGCTATAGATAAATATTAAAGCTATAGACACATAACAGTTTTTTTTACACGCTTTATATTAGCTTCACGTGTATGTATGTTTGTATGTTTGTAACTAGACTTTAGACTCCTTTAGACGCAATTTTGACCCACTTTAAACGGGCAGATTTCAGTCAAACTTTGTAGATTTATCGAGGTACCGATAACAATACACTAATTTGATAAGATTATTCCATTATTCAATTTGCAAAATAAGATTTTTGCCAATTTATATAATTTTTATTTATAGTCGATAAGGCAGGAATTGATGTTAAAATACTTAATAGTTTTAAAAATACGCTTTTATAGAAAATTTAACTAAAAAATTAAAAATAAATAATAGTTTAAAATAACTAATAAACACGCTTTATATAAAATTCAACTAAAAAATAGAAAATAAATTTAAATTGAAAATAGTGTAAAATATATTTTATTTTTAAAAAAGCGTGGGGTGCTGTTTATGATATTATTAAAATAATAATTCTTCTACTCATATCTGTCAGAAAAATATTTATAACTAATAACACCGTGCACCCCACGCTTTTAGTTGAATTTTATATACAGCGTGTTTTTTTAGTTTTTTTAAACTATTATTTATTGATACGGTAGATAGAGCTGGTAAACTATACGAAAAGGTCAAAAAGTAAAAACCTCAAAAAGTTTACATAGCAGATTTTGGTTTGACAACGACGATATATTCATGTTAGGGTAGATTTTTTAAGCATTCTGTACTTTTGTCTTTAACCGTTATTCTGAATTTCAGATTAAGGAAGCTAGAAGATGTTGAAACGAAGCGCTTAGAGACTTTGAAGGAATACAGCGAGGACACCTACAAGGCGCTGGAGTGGCTCAACGAGAACAAGGACTTGTTCCATGACCAGGTCTACGGGCCCATGATGCTCGAGGTAATGGAAATACTTCTCCAAATACTGGACTGAAATTTACTTGTGGTAGGACCTCTTGTGAGTCCGCACTGTTAGGTACCACCACCCTGCCTATTTCTGCCGTGAAGCAGTAATGCGTTTCGGTTTGAAGGGTGGGGCAGCCGTTGTAACTATAGACCTTAGAACTTATATCTCGAGGTGGGTAGCGCATTTACGTTGTAGCTGTATATGGCCTCCAGTAACCACTTAAAACCAGGTGGGCCGTATGCTCGTATGCTTACAAGGGAATAACAAAATCGTTTTCCGTCAGTTGAAATTCACGCATCCGGAGACCGCCCGCTACCTCGAGTCGACGGTCTCCAGCAAGGACCTGGTCGCCTTCACGTTCCAGTCCAGCCGCGACATGAACCTCTTCCTGCAGAGGGTCCGCGAGGAGCTGCAGCTGCGCGCCGTCAGCGCCCTCTGCAGCCGCGCCGGGGACTTCAGCGCGCCCCACCACGACATCAGGGAACTCAGGTACGGCTAAGGACCAGTCCTTTTTTTTATTGCCTACATGTGTGGACGAGCTTACAGCCCATCTGGTGTTAAGTGGGTGTTGGAGCCCATAGACATTGTACAAGGTAAATGCGCTACCCACATTGAGATATAAGTTCTAACTAAACTAAGACCTTAGAACTCATCTCAAGGTGGGTGGCACATTTACGTTTCGCGATTCCGATCCGGTAGTAGATTCATTCGCGTAGCAGTTGCTCTTGAGTTGTTAGGTCTCCTTCGGAGGCGCTCGGGTAGCTGTTAGCAAATCCTACTCCTCCTGGCTGAGCTTTTGCTCGCCCACCTGTCCTGGTGAAACTGGAAAGGCCGCCGGGTGACCAAAAAAATGTCTATGGGCTCCAGTGACCACTTAACATCAGTTAGGCTATGAGCTCGTCCACCCATCTAAACAATAAAACCTCGGAGGATATTGAACGTCCCTCTGAAAGTTTTGGTTCGCATTCTGTAGTGAGTGCTTGCGTTTCAGCTACCTCGGGTTCCAGAGGACGCTGGTGGAGGGTGTCGCGGCGCCGGGCCCGGTGCTGCGGTACCTGTGCGAGCAGTACCACGTGCACAGGATCCCTATCGGGAACGACCACACGTACCACCACAGCGAGAACGTGCCGGACCACGTCACGCTGTTCTTTACAAGTGAGTTTTTTTTTTAATACGCTTTTATTAGATTCAGACGTATGTATGTTTGTATGTAACGGAATCTTTGAATATCATTTTGAGATTTTTCAAAACGTCGGATTAACTCGAAGTTTGGTATACCTATTATGGACCGATGACAATTCAATATTTAAAAATAAAAATTGAAATTCAACATAAAATGGGTGCGTGTACTTATGTACGCGCGTAAGAAGTTATACTTTATTTTTATTATTTCTTTTTTTTTTTATTTAAATTTTAATCAATTTGAAAAAAAATCGACTAAATAACATCCTCAAACACGCATATTGGACATCCCTTTTCTTGACATCGCATAAATTCGGTAATTCTCGGTACGGTTCGGAAAGTTCACCTGGGGCTATATTCAGACTCGCCAAGTTACGTCGGTCGTATTGTAATGAGCGATTTAGTGGGCAACTTCATTCTGTTAATTTTGTGTCACGGTGCGCGCGCATCGTAAAATTTCACTCTCATCAATTTTTCATAACGCGCCTAAAGAAGTATAATTTCAAAAATGAAAAATAAATAATAGGTTAAAAAAACTAACAAAATACGCTTTTACAGAAAATCCAACTAAAAAATAGAAAATAAATTTTAATAAATTTTAATTAAAAATATGTAGTGTAAGAAAAAATGATTTTATTGTAAAAAAAAGCGTGGTGTGCATGGTATCAGTAGTTATAAATATTTTATGAACAGATATGAGTAGAAGGGTTATTTTGATAGTATCCTGAAAACACCCCACGCTATATATATCGTGATTTCTAACTGTATATATATATATATATATACTAGCGGCCCGCTCCGACTCCGCTCGGGTCTTTAACAGAAATTTCAACGATATTTGACATTGTTTTATTTTTTTAAATAAAAGAACATCTGTTGCGACATAACTATAATAGTTAGATATATTATGCTATTGCGACAATTTTTGTAAATAATAATGTGTTCTACAAATTCGTAGTACATTATTTTATTCTATCATCAATAGTTTTCGCAGGGCGCGCGATGTAAAGAATATTTGAGGTAATTTTTTTACACCTTGGGTTACATTATTAGAGTTTTAGTAAGGATCCCTAATATTTTTCAAAAAAGATTATAGCCTATGTCACTCGGGAATAGTGTAGCTTCCAAACAGTGAAAGAATTTTTCAAATCGGTTCAGTAGTTTCGGAGTCTATTCAATACAAACAAACAAATAAATCTTTCCTCTTTATAATATTAGTATATATATTGACGCTTGAAAGGCAAACGTGATTAAGCGACAATAACTGCTTTGTACATAAATGATAGGTAATAACCATATTCGATGCGCAAAAAATATATATTTGTAGGTCTATTAAAATCATCTCAATTCTACAGCTAGATTCGTTAAAATTTTTTTTTTTTTAAGTTATACTTTAGGCACGTTATGAAAAATTGATGAGAGTGAAATTTTACGATGCGCGCGCACCGTGACACAAAATTAACAGAATGAAGTTGCCCACTAAATCGCTCATTACAATACGACCGACGTAACTTGGCGAGTCTGAATATAGCCGCAGGTGAACTTTCCGAACCGTACCGAGAATTACCGAATTTATGCGATGTCAAGAAAAGGGATGTCCAATATGCGTGTTCGAGGATGTTGTTTAATCGATTTTTTTTTAAATTGATTAAAATTTAAATAAAAGAAAAAAGAAATAAATTTAATAAAAATAAAGTATAACTTCTTAAGCGCGTACATAAGTACACGCACCCTTTTTTTTTCAGGTTTTTCAACTTTAAATTAGTCTACTGTAAAGTTCACGCATTGTCGCTTAGCCACGTTTGCCTTACAAGCGTCGATATATATATATATGTGTGTGTTGCAGCGCGGCACCGGTTCAGCGTGCGCGTGTCGCAGTACAGCGGCGCGCGCGCCAGCACGGTGGGCGAGGTGCGGCCGCCGCGCCTGCTCGCCAACGCGCGCGACGCCGACCTCATCCGCACCTGCGCGCTACAGTCAGTGCACAACATATATAGCCTTCTTTATTTTCCTATCTAATCTGATGGCCTTAAGAGACCATTTCAACGTAACCTTTAACTTACTCTCTTCCAATTACAAAGTCCCTTTTGACACTTCTTATTACTGATGATAGGACCTCTTGTGAGTCCGCGCGGGTAGGTACCATCACCCTGCCTATTTCTGCCGTGAAGCAGTAATGCGTTTCGGTTTGGAGGGCGGGGCAGCCGTTGTAGTTATACTTGAAACCTTAGAACTTATATCTCAAGATGTGTGGCACATTTACGTTGTAGATGTCTATGGGCTCCAGTAACCACTTAACACCAGGTGGGCTGTGAGCTCGTCCACCCATCTAAGAAAAATAATCCTTCACTGTGCCCCTGGATATAATATTCACAAGTGATGATTAGCACTTAGCATTAGGGAGCCGTGTATAGATAATATAATAGAGATTGAAATATCCGATTATTTTAGTGGTTTCTGTAATTTTTTTTAGATTGAAAACATTAAATGCGACCTCGGAAAGCCAATTGGCCGCCATCAAGAGTCTGGGAGATCACATCTCGGAGCTGGAACAAAGGCAGGGCCAACTAAATAATGAATTGAAAGTTATTAAAGACAATGCATCAAAGGTAAGGTGTGATGCAATTATAAAAAAAAAAAAAATTAACCCACTTTACGAAGGCTTAATAATTCGTTCAAAAAACTAGCTTTATTATTTACTATTTAAATAGTAAGTTAAATATGTAGTATCTAAATAATATTTAGTTTTAACTAAAAAGTTGAAAAATATTATTCGATGTGGAGAATTGGCTCTACACTGACGTAAAAGTGAAAGGCTCATTAAAATATTTGATAAAAAAAAACGATTTCAATATTAGACGCCAGACAAGAAACAAACGAAGTTCATCGCTCGAGTGTTTGAAATGAAATATTAAGTCAATCAATCAGTAAATAAGGTTATAAATTTCGATATTTTAGCTAACAATACTGTTGGGGTTCAAGGGGAAGTTTGTAGAGTTCCAAAGAGTAAGTATGTTGTTTGGGCACCTTCATTATGTTGGTTAAGCACAGATGGTAACGTGTTAACGAGTGCATGTTGCTAAGTGCACTGCGCTAAGAATATAATAAAATAATTTGACACCACAATGATAACGCACGGTGTGTCAACGTATTCAGTATGTACAAACCGTACAGATACACAATATACTGTGAGCGGTTCATTAACAATTAAACTATTAACGTTGCAGATCGCAGAGATATCGTGCCAAATAAGAGTTCAGGCGAGGAAAGTGGAGGGCATCGAGAACGAGGAGTCCTTCGACGTCGCCGCCGAGTCGAGCCGCGCCGCCGCACTGCGGGCCCGCGCCGCCGCCGCGCAGAGCCGCCTGCACGCGGGGGGCGCGGGGGCGCTGCGCCGTCTGCACGCCGCCGCCGCCGCGCCCGCGCTGCTCAAGGTGCGACCGCGCCCCCCAACACCCCGCACCCTCCTACTCACTTTTAAAAAAAAAAACTACCTTAGCTGATACATAGCCTTGAGAGGCTATTTCAGCGTAACCTTAACGAGTAGGTGAGTTCACGGGGCTCAAACCTGACGACATTACTGAGACTGGCCCTAGCAAGAGCAGTGCTGCCCCACCCTTCAAGGTAGAAATAGGCAGGGCGGTGGTACCGACCCCTGCGGACCCACAAGAGGTCCTACCACCAGTAAAACCTATCAAATATCCTATCACCTATACGATTGTCTGTGCGAGAATGAGATGGAACATATGATAGTTTCATAGGAGTAATACATGATTTTCATTTACAGGTTAAACTGGAGATAATACGCGATGAGATCGTGAAACGGGAATCAGAATTGATCGATCTGAGAACCGAACTGGACGAAGCCAAGGTAGTTAATGTTATTATTGTTTCCTTAAGCAGCCGTCATCATGCACGGATGTATGCAGTGCTAATTAATGCATAGCCAGGCCGTTGCTTCTTTCATGTTAGATGTTAGGTAATTTGGTGAAACGTGACAATGTTTAAGAAATTAATATATTATGTCCACACTGCAGCAGGCAATGTACACAAAAGTACAAATAAAATCTTATAACTGGCATGAATGAAAATTTATATGAGTGACGTCGTTTGCGACGAAAACCAATTGCAAGTCAATCGTTGTGATGTTTGTAATTTGTCTATCTATCTATCTATCTATCTTCTATCTATATATATAAAAATGAATTGCTGTTCGTTAGTCTCGCTAAAACTCGAGAACGGCTGGACCGATTTGGCTAATTTTGGTCTAATTATTTGTGGAAGTCCAGAGAAGGTTTAAAAGGTAGATAAATATGAAAATGTTCGGAATTAAATAAAAATAGCAGTTGTGTTTCCCCCGTCAAACGGATTCCTTTTGTTTGTTTTAAGTTTATTTTATACAAAAGTTTAGGTCTTTTATTTATCGATTGAGGAACTACGAAGTCTACCGGGTCAGCTAGTGTTTTATAAAATGAAAATAACTAAGCGTAAGCGCAGTGTGGGATGGCCACCTACCAGATGGACCGACGACCTGGTGAAAATTGTTGGGTCACGTTGGATGCAGGTTCCAACGGACCGACCACACTGGAGATCAGTTGGAGAGGCCTATGTTCAGCGGACAGTAGACAGACAGATGATGATGATGATGATGATGAAGCGTAAGTCGTTGATGTTGATCCGCAGAGATCCTTGGAGTTGGTCCAGACGCAGCATGCCGAAGCCCAGTCGAGAGCGGCCGCCAAGCTGTCTCAGGTGCGGGCTCGCTGCGGCGCCGCGGACCCCGCCGACCCCGCCGACCCCCTCGCGGCGCTGTTCCGCGACCTGCCCGACGAGCTGGACGCGCTGGCCGAGCGCTGCTACGAGCTGCAGACCAGCGTCGACTGTATGGACAAGGAGACCGGCAACGTGAGTGGACCACGTCACTGCAGGACTGGTCACTGACCTGTCGCAGCAGGACTGGTCAGTGACCCGTCGGATTGCAGACTGATATTGTTACGCGCTGGGATTCCGGATAAATAAAATTCTACCGAATTACAAGTTAACACTATATTCAATACTTAAAGCACTCAACAAACACCTTAAAATTCTCAATTCACTTCAGGTGATCCATTCGCCGTATCGCTTCGAGTAGTTCCGATCCGACTAAGTGACTGACTGTGTGCCAACTCTGCAACGCTTTTATAGTCTATACGACATCCCTAGAATTATCGAGAATATTCCACACATCTCTAGTAGTAGTTTCTGCTATTTGAAAATAGATGGCGTTGTGCTTCTCGAGCGTTCTAGATGCTACTAATGCCTTCGATATTCTTTCGACTATTCGGCGATAGACGGCGTTACTCTTACCGGCGTAACAATATATTTAAAATGCACATTGTACGTTGCAATGCGTATGTGTGTATAAAAAAAATCCCCTATTTATTCGCTGGTAGCCTTTTTTTTAACCAATGTTGATAGCTGTTTACGCCATCTATTGGTCAACTGGAACAGACTGCTTAATTCCATCATTTTAAGTTTATCGAATGCGCCATCTACCGACGTAACTTTTTTGTTTCATTCATTTCGATTCCATTTTAAGTATGTATAATTATTATTCAAGAAAAACTTTTCAACGACACAGTGCGATTAACCTATAAAATTTTATGTAATGTATCAAAGGAAGATTAAAGTGGATTACTATTATAAAAACGGCCATTTTTCATTTCAAAATCACTAATACGACGAGGAACGAACCTGCTGCTGCACAATAGCCTTGAGAGGTTATTTCAGCTCTTCCTTGACGTGTAGGTGAGCTCACGGGGCTCAAACCGGGAGTGTTACTAACACTGGCCCTAGCAAGAGCAGTGCTTCGCAGAATCTACTTGTGGATCAAAAACGCGAACCACTGGGAAGAACCGGCGAGAAACTCAGTGCGCTGTGTCTGTGGGTTAGTTGCTTGAATCACAAGACACCGTCGTCTAATGCTGGTATTTACATTTTTAGGTGATAAAGGATTACGAGGACTGCGAGAAAGCGATAGAGGCGCTCCAAGCTGAGAACAAGAGTGTTGACCGACAGAACCAGACCTTGCTGCGGCGGATGGACACGCTCAGGTATCAGACATTTAGGCGTTTATGAAATAGGTTTTTTTTTATTGCCTTTGTAGGCAGACTAGCATACGGCCCACCTGATGGTGAATGGTTACCGTCGCCCATGGACTTCAGCAATGCCAGGGGCAGAGCCAAGCCGCTGCCTACCGCTTAATACTCTCCACAAGCCTCGTTTGAAGAAGGACAAGTCATAGCGCTCGGGAAACACCGTGGAGGGGAGCTCATTCCATAGCCGGATGGTACGGGGCAAAAAAGATCTCTGGAAACGCACTGTGGATGACCGCAGTGGCTCCAGGTAGTATGGATGAACTCTACTCCGGTGGCGGGCGGTGCGATGGTAAAAACGAGACGTTGGTATCATCTCGAACAATTCCTCAGAGCACTCCCCATGGAACATACGGTACAAAATATAGAGGGAACCGAAGTCCCTCCGCAGACCCAGAGGCTGCAAACGATTCGTGAGAATGGGATTATCGACAATCCGAACGGCTCTCTTCTGTAAGGTATCAGACATTCAGGCGTTTATGAAATACGTACTCAACAAATGTTCACGATTGACTTCCACGGTGAAGGAATAACATTGTGTAATAAAAATCAAACCCGCAAAATTATAACTTGCACAATTACCAATGGTCGGAATAGGTAGATTGATTTTATATACTTGCGTCAAAATATTATATGGAAATGCCTTTTTATCCATAATGATTATATTTTTAAATTGAAAAAAAAAAAATTTTTACTCCTCATCAAATACAATTTCTATATTTATGAGATAAAGTAACAAAAAGCCCTGTCTAAGTTTTGTCTCACACTGACAAACGTCATTTCTAATTCAACAGAAAGGGACCAAATACGGTGTAACTATTCCAAGGTGTTTTTGTATAAAATAAAATACTGATTTCTTTCACCATTAGCTAGCACCGGTAGCGTAGATTAATATTATTAACACGTTTTTCAACTTAAACACAGATTCATGCTAATTTCAAAATTCCGGAACAAATAACACAATAAATATGAGTTCCGGTATTTTGCAGGCATGTCCATATTATCCTCTACGTTTGACGTCAACGACCTTAAATCAATCTACCTACTCCGACCACTAGTAATTACTGGTGGTAGGACCTCTTGTAAGTCCGCACGGCACCACCCCGCCTATTTCTGCCGTGAAGCAGTAATGCGTTTCGGTTTGGAGGGTGGGGCAGTCGTTGTAACTATACTGAGACCTTAGAACTTATATCTTAAGGTGTGTGGCGCATTTACGTTGTAGATGTCTATGGGCTCCAGTAACCACTACAACACCAGGTGGGCTGTGAGCTCCACACAACTAAGGAATAAAAAAAGATATATATGTAGGATTGGTAAGAACGGAATCTATGAAAATAGTGTGGAACGGAGCGTTAAGATGTGAGTGAGAGAAAACGGTAAGAAAGGGAGAAGAGAATAACAGACAAAAGGAAAATTGCAAAGACGGTTAAAAAATGAGCAAGGCGTACATAATAAAAGTGTTAATTAATTTTTCTCCTACCTACGCCGAAAGTTCGGTTTTCCACCCGCTGTACAGGGAAGAAAGTGTAACTTTTCCTCCCTGGGTACTGACAAGTGCGCATGCGCGTTAGTGTCTACGTCTGCTCTCACGCACCTAAAATCCTCCGCCATTGTTGTGTTTGGGTAATTTGCAATATTGTGTTTAGTGTAAAAGTGAAATAAACAAAAGGCAATAAAACTTAATAGTGAAATATTAAACAAAGATGAGTTCATCAGACAGTTCTTATTCAATTAATAGTAGTTTATTTAAAAAAAACAGTCAAATTGTTTTTTTATGAGTATGGGGGGGGGGGGACCGCGGGAAAAAAGTAGGACATCTCATTTTACACGCGGGAGGAAATGTCCTACTTTTCTCCCTTGGTACATTGTGCTACTATTTAAATTATTATTATAATAGAAGATTTTGTCCTTCCAAATCATTCAATCCCGTTTTTGCAGGATAGCCGTCGGAGCCCCGTGGTTCGTCAGGAATGTCGACCTCCATGACGACCTGGACTTAGAGTCCATCAGTAAGTATCTGCAGTCGGCGTCCATGCGCCACTTCGATAAAGCGGCACGACACGAGAACCCTCTCATCGTGGCCGCCGGTAACTACATTCCCGATCCTGCGGACAGAATGGAAAGCAGTCGACGTCGCCCAAAACACGTCATCTCGGATCCTCCCGATCCACTAACGGTGCTTTTAGGTACTTCAAGCACCGGTCACCGTTCTCGTCGAACCCGTCGCTTGCGACGAAGGGCTCGACGAGTAAATTAACTCTCAGACACAGCCCACTGAGTTTCTCGCCGGATCTTCTCAGTGGGTCGCGTTTCCGATCCGGTGGTAGATTCTGCGAAGCACGACTCTTGCTAGGGTTCGTGTTAGCAACATCGTCAGGTTTGAGCCCCGTGAGTTCACCTACTAAAGTTAGGGTTACGCTGAAATAGCCGCTAGGGCTATCAGCTTAGGTAGGAAAAAAAAAAAAAAAAAAAGATTTTGGAACAGTGAAAGTTTTATTTTATTCGCGGCGATACTTACTCTACATATATATGTATATAATAGCATCTGTGGAGCCGTGACCTTTTCGCCCTTTAATGTAATACAAAGTGCGAATTCAATGTTCCCAGCACGCAATGGCTGCCGACCGTCGAGAAACTTCTCCAGGAGATCGACAAACGTTTCGGCGAGATGTTCGCGTTGCTGAACTGCGCCGGCGAAGTGAGACTCGACAAAGGGAACAGCGACGTGAGTACCCTCAAACTTAAAAAAAAAAGGATTTTATGACCTGGTAACTAAGTCCTTTAGGTCAAATTTTAATTTTAATGAAAACTGCACTATCTCTTTTTTATATAAACGAATAAGTATGAAGTGAAATGAAATGAAGTTGATTAATATGAAACATGGCATGGCATGAAATGAGATGATATGGGATGAAATATAATCTCAATCGAATGGTGATCATTTACGGAGACTTTTTCAGTGGACTTTTTGGAGGATCTCGAGAAGATACGTTCAGCGGCTTTGTTTCATTTTCCCACATTTGTGCGCTTTCACAGATACTAAACAGTTAATAAATCACCGTTATTACACATTCAAACCTTAAGAAACACTAAATAGACAAAATAAAATAAATCACACAACTTCACTCCTCGCGTTCCCACCAAAAAGTCCCCTCACACTTTCAACCGGTTGTTTATGTATTGTAGTTGTAGTAGTGTTAGAATTGAATGGCTGTGTGTTTTGGTAAATATTTGCTAATCAAAAATTATCCTCTCTCTACTTTATGTTTCATTGCTGGCAGTGAGTGTAAAATAAACACGTGTGGCACTCGGGGACTGCCGCGGTAAAACTATTGCATATCATTTTTTATCAACTTATGCAATTAGAATTAGACATTAATAATTTTATATTGAAACAATAATAAAATAAGACCAAGCTATATTTATAAACATTCACAAAAGCAAAACATTAACTGTCTGTTGGGACTTCCTTTTCCTTATTCCTTCCTCAATCCCCTATCCACGCCATCTGCTGACACTACGAGAAAAACTACGCGCGTATGAAAATGGCACGAAGTGTGTAAAAAAAACTAAAACATGGTGCCGGTGCAAAAACAATAAAATTGTGATTTGTTGATCAATCAGCACATATAACTCTCGCCAGTGAGAAAAATTGAATAGTGCATCAACGAAATACAGAGTGAGTCCTAAAACTTATCCTTTTTCCAGTCCCAAACATCTAAATTCAAAACACTGTCCCCTTTCACACTCATAAGCTAGGCCGCGCGAGAAAGAGATGGGCAGACTTTGATGCGCATGCAGTGGGACGTGACGCCGCGCGCTTATTCACAAACACTACACAAGCGCAACGTGTGGAATGTGTTGAACGCGAGCTACATGGTAGGCGGAGTGTGGGTGTTAGGTTTTATTTTCGTTACGGAATTTCTTGATTCGGTCGCCGCGCTCAAAGCTATGCAATAGCTTAAAAAAACGTATCAGTAAATAAAACTTTACGAGCAAACCAATCGCGCCATTGTCTCGACCTCGACTTGAATTTTAATTTATTTATTTTGCCTCTCATTTTTCGATATAAAAACATGTGGGTGTATAATGTGGGGGGGTTTCCAGGAGGACTACGATAAGTACGGCGTGGTCGTGCTGGTGAGGTTCCGGGAATCTGAGGAGTTGCAGCCGCTCTGCCGCAAGAGGCACTCCGGGGGGGAGCGCGCGCTCTCCATCGCGCTGTACCTCATGGCCCTGCAGAGGCTCTTCACAGTGCCCTTCAGGTAGGTCAAATGCTCATGATTGACTTCCACGGTGAAGGAATAACATCGTGTAGTAAAAATAAAACCCGCTAAATTATAATTTGCGTAATTAGTGTGATGGTAGGATGTCTTGTGAGTCCGCACGAGTAGGTACCACCGCCCACCTGGTGTTAATTGGTTACTGGCCCATAGGCATCTGCAATGTAAATACGCCACCCAGCTTGCGATATAAGTGTCAGTATAGTTACAACCGGTGCCCCACCCTTCAAACCGAAACGCATTACTGCTTGACGGCAGAAACAGGCAGGGTGGTGGTACTTACCCTCGCGGACTCACAAGAGGTCCTACCACCAGTAAGTTTCATCAAAGAGTAATCAAATAAGTCCTTTAGTGTTTTTTTTTTCGATTTAGAATCTTGAATATAAATCTCGACATGGATTATTTTAATCATTGTTTATGTTTTATAACAGATGCGTGGACGAAATAAATCAAGGCATGGACGAGATCAATGAACGCAAGATGTTTCAACTCCTGGTTCAAGTGACGAGTGAATGTGAGAACTCCCAGTATTTCCTGTTGACGCCCAAAGTGAGTTCAGTGACAACTAGTTATTAGATAATACCACGCAACATAATACGCAACTCATATCTGAAAGTGGGTGGCGGTATTTACGTTGTAGATGTCTATGGGCTCCGGTAACCACTTAACACCAGGTAACCCGTGAGCTCGTCCACCTAGGCTATAAAAAAAACCGACCTCATGTCTCAATAGATATGGCGTTCCTCTATTAATTCACTACAACAACAAAACTGGGCTATAGAGTTCGTGCTGCTAATCGAGAATTTTAAATCGATTTCCAGCTACTGTCCAATCTGGAGTACAACGACAAGATAATGGTCCACACCATCATGAACGGGAAACACGTCATGAAATATAAAGAATGGAACCACGACGCGTTCGTGCAGAGGGCGCGGCAGCTGAGGAGATCCTGAACTGTGGTTCAGGGGTCCCAGGTTTACACTAAACAATTTCAAAAATATTGAATGCTGTTATTTAGTACCTTTAGTGTCATTTATTTTTGTTATTAGTACCTTTAGTGACAATTTTTTGTTATTAGTACCTTTAGTGACAATTTTTTGTTATTAGTACCTTTAGTGACAATTTTTCGTTATAATACCTTTAGTGACGATTTTTTTAACACTTATCATGAAAATTATTTAGTCTAATCTTATATGCAATTAAGTTTGTTTAAAAAAAAACTTTTATTGTTCATTTAACGATTTTACAAATGTATCTAAACGAACAAACAAACTTTCTATTCGTAAAATAGAAAGCCAGTCGTATCGGTAGATAATCGCGCGCCATGAGGTCGAATGTCTCAAACGCATGTGGCGGGTAGCCATCATACAACGCAAGATATTTGACAGATGCCTGAATCTCGCTTACGACATTTTCAAGATAAGCTCGCATATATACAAGTTCCGAACAACATTCGGAAATTCGGACCGTCGGTCTACCGAGCAATATCACCCGCTCGGTGGAAGATTTTCCCTTCGTCGTATATTTCCAAAACGCACTTAAGTTCCCAATATTCTCCCCTGTGTTCCGTTACACATAAGAAACAAGATCTTTGATTATCAAATATATAAAATATTCCAACCGTTAAGTTAATCCTCACCTATCCCAATGCGGACACAAATACAAGACTACCGCCTATTCTATTTTTTAAAAAGAGCCCGTCATTTAAACAAAGCGTTTTAAATAAATGTGATATATCAAAAATATGTTAATTCTAAGGCCCGTTGGTTACCGTTGTATAATGTAAATAATGGATTAAAAAAAAACAAATAATGTTGATTTTATTTTGTACAAATAAATTATTTTTTATTAATAAAATATAAAAATGAAAACGTGCTTTCCATAGACATTTATTAGCAATTGTTGAAGTTGAACTTCTTTAGACGCGATGAGTAAATTGAAAAATTTCAAAACTAACATGTGGTTAATGACAAAAATATTTACTCCCTCTTTTTCTAAAGAAGTTTAACTTCGATTGCTTATAAGCGTTTCCTTTGCTTACATGACCTCACAATTCTGTTGCGTGAATACAGTCCGCCATTTTGAGATGAAGAAACCTCAATTGTGTTGTATAATCTGTGACACACCCCAAACCTTAACGTGGCAGAAACAGGGTAAATAATTACGGTAATTTATAAAATTTAATTAGTTTTGAGTTCGTATATACGTTTTAGTGAGTATTAAGGATGCCACGCACGTTATTATTAACGTTAACAATTACTTTTTTTATTAATATATTTTAGAATAGAATATCAGACTAGGCACGTTATCAACAAATTGACAGTGATACCTAAAACGCAAATGTATTATTTTAAAATTTTTTCCCTACTACCCTCTCGCTGTCAAATTAAATATTTTCCATAAAAAAAAAACAATTCCATTTTTGTGTTATACATTTCACTCGTTATTTCTCTATCTGCACTCCCTTGCCGTGCCACTGCTCGTCGAGTGTGACGTCACAGCCGAGGTCCCGTAGCGCGGACCTGATGTCGAACCCGAATTCGTTTCCGAAGAGCTCGTGGGACGAGTTCAGTAGGGCTTCGGCCCCCAGTTCGAGGAACTTCACGTTTTGCTCGCGACACCGCGCCACGATGTTCCGTATCGCCCAGCACGCGTTCTTCTGAAAACGAAAAACTAAAATTGAAATTTCTCTCGACTTAAATCAAGTCAAATCAAATCAAAAAAAAAAAATTCAACACTAGCCGACCCGGCAGACTTCGTAGTGCCTCAATCGATAAATAAAATACCTAAACTTTTGTATAAAATAAACTTAAAACAAACAAAAGGAATCCGTCCGACGGGGGACACATCAAAGGGAAAACAAAATTGTTATTTTTATTTAATTCCGTACATTTTCATATTTATCTACGTTTTAAACCTTCTCTGGACTTCCACAAATAATTGAACACCAAAATTAGCCAAATCGGTCCAGCCGTTCTCGAGTTTTAGCGAGACTAACGAACAGCAATTCATTTTTATATATATAGAAGATAGAAGACAAATGAAAGTACATACTTGTTGAACGTCAAAAGAACTACCGCCAATTCACAAGAACTAGCCTCCGTCCTGAGAAGAATTGGCAAGAAACTCAGCGGGCATGACTTTTTTTTAATATTAGTTTTTTTTTTATATAAATTTTTACAATGAGTATTATAACATAACAATTATTTATTGGAATATTGAAATGCCCGGAGCGAGCAACTCATTCCCACTTTGTGCAATCTTCTAGATAATCGTTGACTTTATAGTCAGCTTTATTGCACAGATGTTCTTTAATAGTTTTCTTAAACCTATTTTGGTATATGTAGGTTCTGAACATCTTTTTTGGGGCGGGAACGCGAATCATGACGTATGCAAGCGTAGTGTTCGCTCACGCGGCCTGCACCCACTTGAAACCCCTTCAAGTTATTCAATCCCGTTTTTGCAGAATACCGTCAGAGCTATGGTTATGGAAGCTATCGTGGCCTAAAGGATAAGACATCCGGTGCAGACGTGTTGAGCGATGCACCGGTGTGCGAATCCCGCAGGCGGGTACCAATTTTTCTAATGATCTACGTACTCAACAAATGTTCACGATTGACTTCCACGGTGAAGGAACAACATCGTGTAATAAAAATCAAACCCGCAAAATTGTAATTTGCGTAATTACTGGTGGTAGGACGGGGCAGCTGTTCTAATTATACTTGAGACTTCAGAACTTATGTCTCAAGGTGGGTGGCGTATTTACGTTGTAGATGTCTATGGACTCCAGTAACCACTTAACACCAGGTGGGCTGTGAGCTCGTCCACCCATCTGCAATAAAAATAAAATAGTTTTTTATTTTTATTGCAAATAGTTTAATTTGTAAGCAGACAAGCATACGGCCCACCTGATCGTGAATGGTTGCCGTCGCCCATGGACTTCAGCAATGCCAGGGCCACAGCCAAGCCGCTGCCTACTGTATATATATATATATATATATATATATATATATATATATATACCTCTATATGCAATTTCATCTCGGTAACGTGGTTGGAGATTATGTTGCTCGCTACTAGAGTTCTACCAGTGAGTACCAGCGACTACCACCGGCTACTAGCGACTACCAATGACTACCAGCGACTACCCCCGGCTACTAGGGACTACCAGTGACTATCAGCGGCTACCAGCGACTACCAGTGGCTACCAATAACTACCAGCGACTACCAGCAGCTACCAGCGGCTATAAGCGACTACCAGCAGCTACCAGCGACTACCAGCGGCTACCAGTGACTACCAGCGGCTACCAGCAACTACAAGCGACTACCAGCAACTACCAGTAGCTACCAGCGACTACAAGCGACTACCAGCAGCTACCAGTGGCTACCAGCGACTACAAGCGACTACCAGCGACTACCAGCATCTACCAGTGGATACCAGTGGCTACCAGCGACTACAAGCGACTACCAGCAGCTACCAGTGGATACCAGCGACTACCAGTGGCTACCAGCAGCTACCAGTGGCTCCCAGCGACTACTAGCAGCTACCAGTGGCTACCAGCGACTACCAGCAGCTACCAGTGGCTATCAGCGACTATTAGTGGCTACGGGCGGCTACCTGCACGGCGGCGTTGCGCGGGTGTAGCTTCATGCAGTGCACGATGGCCTCGGGCGCTCCGCTGGCCAGGAAGTGCTCGCTGTGCGCCGGCTCGCGCAGCGTCAGCGCCGCCACGGACCTCAGTATCAAGGCACAAGCGGTCGCGTTGTTCTGTGACACACATAAAACATCTTTACTGGTGATAGGACCTTTTGTGAGTCCGCGCGGGTAGGTACCACCACCCTGCCTATTTCTGCCGTAAAGCAGTTATGCGTTTCGGTTTGAAGGGTGGGGCAGCCGTTGTACTATACTGAGACCTTAGAGCTTATATTTCAAGGTGGGTAGCGCATTTACGTCGTAGATGTCTTTGGGCTCCAGTAACCACTTAACATCAGGTGGGCTGCGAGCTCGTCTACATATCTAAAAAAAAATATCTTCCGAACGATTTTTTTTCTTAAGACACGAGCCTCATCAGTGTGTGTCGATGATTGTATGACGTCACCACCTTGCCGCCGTTACGGTACGACGTGCGAGAGTGACAGAGCGATGCGATATTTCTCCACTCTTCGCCTGGTCTCGCACGATGTCATTAGAAATGAGAATAGAATCGAAAGATAGCCTTAATTAATAGGACCGGTTATTTATCTGCAAAATTAAATCAACTAAATGGAAAAATACTGGTTTTTTTTTTTCGTTTTTCCACATATTTATGAATAATTGATTATGAACCGCGAGTTTGACGAACGATTTCAAGTTTACATTTTTTTACTTCTACGCTCGCTTTTATCATTCAGGCTTAAAAAAAAATTTTTGCTGCACGTGAATAATAAATAAATAAATGATAAATAAATATTTACTAACAATCACGCCACGTTAACTGGTCCCGTGATAAGTTCGTAAAGAACTTGTGTTACAGGTACCAGATAACGGATATAAATGTAAGATTTTTATTATACACATACATATATTTAATAGCCATCCATAACCCTGGAAAAGACACTTATATTTATCACACAAATATCTTCCCTTGGCGGGATTCGAACCCGCGACCCCCTTGTGTAGTGACCATGTCACTTACCACTACACCAGACGGCCGTGAATGAAGTGAAACTTCTGTTTCGATGTGTAGTATTGTGGTTTTTTTCATTTCTCATCCTTAAATCAGATTGCTCTTGTAATAAGGAATGCTGTGTATAAGAGACGCGACATCTTCAACATTTATATGATATAAATATTTAAGTTTATAGATAGAAAATTGAATATATGTATTTTTTTAAGTACTTCATTAAAATATTGGCCGCTACTGGTCGCTAACACTCGCACTGGCCTGTAACAGGTATACTACGCGCGTGCGTTCGAGTACCACCTGTTCACTCTGGCTCTGTCTCTTTCTATTTCATGGTAGCGTTAAACGTTTAACGCAACTTTGTCGGAAGTAGCGTTAGAAGTTTCACTTCAAAAAAAAAAACGTAAACAAGCCTGGAAGTAAATAAGATGATTACTGACCGCGTGTCTAGACAGCAACGTGACTAACACCGGAGCTATACCACTTCGGACCAAATCTCTTTTCACGTCGTCGTGACCGGCTAAGGCTGTTATTCTAAAAAAAAAACATACATACATCATTAAATATGTTTCAAAAACAAACACAAAAGGCGATATTCATTGAATAAAAAAACTGACTGGTGATAGAATCTCTCGTGAGTCCGACAGGGTCCCTACCCTGCCTATTTCTGCCGTGAAGCAGTAATGCGTTTCGGTTCGAAGGGCGGGGTAGTCGTAACTATACTGAGACCTTAGAATTAGAACTCATATATCAAGGTGGGTGGTGGCATTTACTGGAGTAACCACCTAACACCAGGTGGGCCGTGTGCCTACATGTGGTCAACCATCTATGCAATAAAAAATAAATAAATAAAAAGCCAAGCCCGTACGGGTAGGTGAGCTTACGGGCTCAACCTGATCGAATTTGCTAACACTGGCACTAGCGAGAGCAGTGCTTCGCAGAATCTACTACCGGATCGGAAACGCGATCCGGCGAGAAACTCAATGGGCTAACAAAGTTTGTCAAAGGCAAACATTGATATTGTATACGCTTGTGTGTGTTTTGATATTGTATACGCGACGAGATGGCCGGTCCATAGAACGCCTCGTTGTACAGGTAAGCGTTGATGGTACAAGACCGCGCGGGAGGCCACCAATGCGGTGGACCGACCAAATTAAAACTGCAGTGGGAGGTCCCCTAAATGAGTGCAGTAGAATGGCCTCGAGCAGGGAGAGATGGCGCGACATCGTGAGACGCATTAAGTCTGCCCCTTCCAACACTACATGACGATCACGACCACTCTGTCAAGAGTGACACGACTGAGAAGAAGAAGTGTGTGTTTTTGTAGGGGACAGTTGGTGAGGAAAGAGGTCGCAATAACTAATTTCACATTATCAGTATTAGCAAGTATCCTCTTAATTAACACTGGGAATGTATTACCAAAAGCGATAGAGCCGAAAAGCTTCATTATTCTTCTTAACTTATTAACATTTTAACATTTTTCGACTGTAACATTCAATACTTTATTTAAAGCTTACAGATTTCAGATCCATAAAGTACATTCTTGAAAGTGTTTCAATCGGAATCCAAATTGATAGAATGTATTTTATTTTTTCATCGATTTAGTACCTACAAAAAATTTTTTAGGGCCATACAAATGGTTGTTTTTGTTGCAAGGCAATACAAAAAAAGACCATTTGCAACTACGTCAAGATAAGTATGCACCTTTGAATGTGCTGGTTCTCAATTGATTCCCATCTATATTATTTTCGAATTGCGTAATACAAAAATTAATGGGAAATTTATTTGTAAAACAACTTTACTTCTATGTCTCAGCTCTAATTGCGTTTAGTACACGGCAATTGATATCGATTTAATGCGACATTGATTGGTTCTAACCATCGTTTGACATTGATTAAACATCCCATGACGACAAAGACACCGTTAAATCGATAAACACTAAAAGGCCTTAGCGCTGCCCACACCAATCACACGTATACTAAATTGAATTTAAAAAAAAATCAAAGCAAAATGACTTCAGCCGAAAATGGAGATTTACTTTCGTATGGCGATAAGAACTATGGTCTCGGTGCGATGCGGAATTGGCATGAACACAACGAGCGAATCCTCAAAGGCGACATCATCAGAACAACTGACGATGAAACATCCATAACAAAAAATTGCATCATCAAAATCAACAATACATCTTGTAACGACTTCGCGGACACAACCGACCAGTTGAAACAGAGAGCCAGACACATCAACTACTGGCAGGCCGAGCTAGAGAGAGCTATAAGGGACATTGACGCCGAATCAGACGTATTGGAAGAGCAGAGGCAACAGCTCAAAAACGCTATGGACGTATTAAAGATTCCGGAATACGTGACGGAAGAATGTTTGGATGTTAGACGTAACAGAATGCAATCGGACCTTATCTACGATCCGCCTCAAGAGGAACTATTCACCGAATCAGCTCTTATTGAAAACGTTAAACGTTTGCACGGCGACATGATTAGAGACATAGAAAATCAGATGAAAGTTAATTTAGCAGCCAAACATTCTCTGGAGAGGGATTGGAGTAATAAGCACTTGGCGTTTAAATACGTAACCGCTAATTCCGAGTTAGAAACGAAATCGGTAAACGTGAAATATTCGCCAGGAGCCACTAGACTCTGCGAAGGACAATCCGACGTCCCATCTTGGGAGGGACACACTGTTAACGCACTAGATCAGTTTAAAGCCGCACTAGATTCGTCACAGCAGCTCAGAAAGAGAGTTGAAGCTACCATATTGAACACAGCACGAGATTTAAGGAGCCAAGATCTGAAAGTGAACAGGGCGATCGCCGAGCGCATCGCCAGAACCCAACAAGTGAAAACCGAATTGGAAAACCAACTGAGATTGACGATACAAAAGATCGGCGAAACGGAAAATATTCTAGAGACGCTGCACGAGGAAACTATGAAGGTCGCCCAGAGGATCCAAGTCGCGCAGACGAGGTTGAACACAAAGAACAACAGACCAACAGTTGAGAATTGCAGAGAAGGTTCCCTTTTCAGTTTGATCGAAGAAGTCCGAGATCTGAACGACAGTATGAGTCTACTACGTAAACGATCTCTGGTTACGGAGAAATTGAGAGCGGAACTGATCCAGGAGAGGTCTCTATTGGAAAATGAAATAACAGTGAAGAATAAAACTATACATATAGATGATGAACGATGCTTGTTTCTGAGGTCGCATTTTCAATCAGCTGAGAAATTGAGCGGTTTCTAAGCTTGTAGTGCTGGGTTATGGAGATTAAGGAAGATTCCATGAGTAAATTAACCCATAGACACAGTCCACTGAGTTTCTCGCCGGATTTTCTCAGTGGGTCGCGTTTCCGATCCGGTGGTAGAGTCTGCGAAGCACGGCTCTTGCTAGGGTTCGTGTCAGCAACGTCGTCAGGTTTGAGCCCCGTGAGCTCACCTACTAGTTAAGGTTACGCTGAAGTAGCCTCTCAAGGCTATCAGCTTAGGTAGGAAAAAAAACTGGCCAAAGCTGCAATGTGTAAGCTTACACGTATATATTTTTTATTACCCTTGTAGGCAGACGAGCTTATGGCCCACCTGATAGCGAGTGATTACCGTCGCTCATGGACGTCAGCAATACCAGGAGTGAAAATTTGTTTTTTTATTTATCGCTTAGACGTGTGGACGATCTCACAGCCCACCTGGTGTTAAGTGGTTACTGGAGCCCATAGACATCTACTACGTAAATGCGCCACACACCTTGAGATATAAGTTCTAAGGTCTCAGTATAGTCACAACGGCTGCCTCACCCTTCAAACCGAAACGCATTACTGCTTTACGGCAGAAAAAGGCAGGATGGTGGTACCTACCCGTGCGGACTCACAAGAGGTCCTACCACCAGTACCAGTTTTTATTGCGTATATGGGTGGACGAGCTCACAGCCCACCTGGTGTTGTGAGTTATATGCGACGGACTCACAGCTTGCAGGCCTGCTGGACGACGGCGGCGCTCTCGTAGTTGTCGGCCAGCACTGAGAACAGCACGCCGGGCCCGCAGTCCGCCACCAGCTTGCACAGCTCGTGCCGCACCAGCAGGCTCGCCATCGTCAGCATCAGCTCCGGCGCCAGCGGAGGCTTCGTCTTCTCTGAACGATAATACCTCGTTAACATACCGAAAGGTGAAAGGCTGTATATTTTTGTGATTAATTTACTGGTGATAGGACGTGTTGTTCGTCCGCCCATCTATGCAATAAAAAATAAATAAAAAAGGTGCGTTTTATTTCGTTTTAGCCACCACCCCGCCTATTTCCGCCGTGAAGCAGTAATGCGTTTCGGTTCGAAGGGTGGGGTAGCCGTTGTAACTATACTGAGACCTTAGAACTTATATCTCGAGGTGGGTGGCGCATTTATGTTGTGGATGTCTATGGGCTCCAGTAACCACTTAACACCAGGTGGGCTGTGAGCTCGTCCACCAATCTAAGCAATAAAAAAATAAAAAATATATATATAAGTTTTTTTGTTGTAATTTTTAAACTATTCCATAGGTCTTATAGCGGGCCTTGAGCGCGGCGACCGAATCAAGAAATTCCGTAGCGGAAATAAAATCTAACACCCCACTCCGCCTACCATGTAGCTCGCGTTCACCACATTCACACGTTGCGCTTGTGTAGTGTTTGTGAATAAGCGCGCGGCGTGACGTCACACTGCATGCGCATCATGATAAGTCTGCCCATCTCTCTCTCGCGCGGTCTAGCTTATGAGTGTGAAGGGGATAGTTAATGTTTTGCTTTTGTTAATGTTTATAAATATAGCGTGATCTCATTTTATTATTGTTTTATTTTAATATTAAATTATTATTGTCTAATTATAATTGCATAAGTTGATAAAAAATGCCATGCAATAGCTTTACCGCGGCAGTGCCTGAGTGCCACACGTGTTTTTAATTTATTTTAAATGACTTTCTTGTATAGTTGCAAAAACGTTGCTTAAACCAAATAGCCTTTAACCTCTCAACATATTTTTTTATAAATCAACAAAGATACAAAAGATACAAGTTCAGACAAAGTGATACCTTTTAACAGATTAGTGAGAGGCTCCAGCATCTGTGCCCCCAGTTCCTTGGCGTGATCGTGTGCTTTACCGAATTCAACTCTAACGTCATCGTCTAAAGTCAGCTTTCGGATTAATTGAAGAGTTTCGCTCAGGAGCTGAAAGAAGTTTTTATTTTTATTTAGCGCTTAGATGAGTGGACGAGCTCACAGACTACCTGGTGTTAAGCGGTTACTGAAGCCCATAGACATCTGTTCTTGATTGTGAATTTTTCAGGCTGTATTTCCTTTGTGATTTCTTTTAGGTGGTTTGTGAAGTCTGCCGTTAAATTACAAAATACTATTAAATTATTTTTGGTTTAATATGAAGTAATATTGTAAATAATATTGCGCGTCTTGTAGCTGTTGATCCGTTCAGAAGTGAAGGTGGTTGCATATTTTCTATGCGTTGCGGAGCTCGCCGTTCCGTCGGTTTGCCGCCCCCTCCCTCGGCGCGCTGCCTGCGTCTTTCCCGACTTTGCGAAAGTGGAGTTGATGCGTAAACACATCTATAAGTTAAATGCGCCACCCACCTTGAGATATAAGTTCTAAGGCCTCAGTATAGTTACAACGGCTGCTCCGTCCTTCAAACCGAAACGCATTACTGCTTCACGGCGGAAATAGGCGGGGCGGTGGTACTTACCCGCGCGGACTCACAAGAAGTCCTACCACCAGTCATTGACGTGGTTATGAAGTAATTACAGTGTTTTCCTACCGAATTTTGTTGTTACGGCGCTTTTTAAACATGTTTTAGTACGACCATTCTACCCATTCTTGTTGCGAAATAGTTACAAACTGAGAACTGCAGGTTAGCCTAATTAAAACACTCCAGACACATCCATATAAGACTTGATTAGAAAAATGGCGTATCAAAATAAACTCACACATTCATATTCCAAAAAGTAAGTCCTACAATTCAACAGCAATGATAATTTATTATAATCTACCTAGTCAGGTCATAAATTCTGTCACATGTTTAATGTAAAATAATTAAAACAAGTTTATTCATTATGTAACCATTCATATACCAAAATGAACTTAACAAAACATAGATTCTTATGACACTAAAGTTTATTCAAAATGACCTCCGTGATTTTGAATACAGGCCTTCAATCTGCGCGGCCAGTCGTCTATCGCAGCACGAACGAGGTCCATGTCAATATCGGCGGCTGCCTTAATCAAGGATGTCTTGAGTGACTCCAAATTGGGATGAGGCTTTGAGCACGCCTTTTCCTCCAAGTGTTGCCATATCTTGTAATCTAACGGATTCAAATCTGGACTGGAGGAGGGCCAGTCTTCGTGCCGGATGAAGTCGATTTCACGCGCCGCCAGCCAGTCTTGTGTGCTCTTCGCTCTATGAGCTGGCGCCGAATCTTGTTGGAATACCCAGTGCCTGTTATTGAACATGGTATGAGAAACAGGTTCCACAAGGTTCGTCAGGACTGTATTTTGATACACAACTGCATTCGTTTTTACACCTTTCTCACAAAAATGTACCTCTGTTAAGCCCCAATAAGAAACTCCCAACCATACCATGAGCGAGGATGGAAAATGACCTCGTTGGACACGCGGAATACGGTTGCTCGCTTCTTCACTACTGTGTGCGTACACCTTATCATTTTGTTTGTTGTAGCTCTCTTCTACGGTAAAAATTTTTTCATCCGAAAAAAGAATTTCCCGATATTTTTTTCCCGCGTACCGCTTCAACAAAGCGCGGCATCTCTTCAGTCTCAGGTCCATTAGACGAGCATTCAAACGATGTCCTGTTTTTCTTCGATATGCCCGAAGCCCTAAGTCTTCATTTAACACCCTTTTCACCGTGGTTCTGCTTAACCCCATCTGAAGGGCCAACAGTTTCTGCTTACGTTTGGGATTTCTTTGAATTCGCGCCTTCACAGCTTTTATCACTGCTGGAGTCCTAACAGACCGAGGGCGACCACTTCTTGACCTGTCATCTACACTAGAGTCTTCATTGTATCGTTTGATGGTACGATAAACGAATCTTTTGGTTATATTCAAATTTTTCAGTATGTTAAAAATTTGAATTGGCGCGTAACCGCAACGATGCAACGCAATAACTGCAACACGGTCTTCTTTAAGCGTCCACTCCATATTTAAAAATGAGTAAAATTCTAAAAGTATACATTTTTATTTTCATGAACAATTCGAAATTCGAATTCAATAAACTTTTTTGTGGCCAGCATTCTAAAAGAAAAGTTTTTACTGTGTGACAATACTTATGACCTGACTAGGTATCTATCTAACAATGATAAAGCTAACATAGCTAGCATATTAAACGGCACATACTAGAATTGAATTGTTTTTATGTATGGTGTTGTTTCATGGAACGGTACCCATAATCATTTGGGGAGCTGAACGACGAAAGGAAGATCTTCCATCGAGCGGGTGATATTGCTCGGTAGACCGACGGTCCGAATGTTGTTGTTCGGAACTTGTATATATGCGAGCTTATCTTGAAAATGTCGTAAGCGAGATTCAGGCATCTGTCAAATATCTTGTGCTCTGTGATGGCTACCGCCACAATTACATATATAAGATCGGATAAAAAGTGAATAACAAATTTATTAATTAACTAGCTGACCCGACAGACTTCGTAGTGCCTCAATCGATAAATAAAAGACCTAAACTTTTGTATAAAATAAACTTAATACAAACAAAAGGAATCCGTCCGACGGGAGGGACATCAAAGCAAAAACAAAATTGTTATTTTTATTTAATTCTGAGCATTTTCATATTTATTTACCTTTAAAACCTTCTCTGGACTTCCACAAATAATTCAAGACCAAAATTAGCCAAATCGGTCCAGCCGTTCTAGAGTTTTAGCGAGACTAACGAACAGCAATTCATTTTTATATATAGAGATAGAAGATAAAAAAATACAAATACTTAATGACAGCTGGACTGGAGTCTCTCCTCATTCCCGATCCTGCGGAAAGAACGGAAAGCAGTCGACGTCGCCCCAAGCACGTCATCTCGGATCCTCCCGATCCACTAACGGTGCTTTTAGGTACCGCAAGCACCGGTCACCGTCCTCGCCGAACCCGTCGCTTGCGACGAAGGGCTCGACGAGTAATTTAACCCGCAGACACAGCCCACTGAGTTTCTCGCCGGATCTCAGTGGGTCGCGTTTCCGATCCGGTGGTAGATTCTGCGAAGCACTGCTCTTGCTAGGGCTAGTGTTAGCAACGTCGTCAGGTTTGAGCCCCGTGAGCTCACCTACTAGTTAAGGTTACGCTGAAATAGCCTCACAAGGCTATCAGCTTAGGTAAGAAAAAAAAGGCTCTCCTGAAGTGAAACAAGTTTTTACATGAAAATCTCTTACCTTTTCATTGCCGGCGACCTTTATAAGTAATTTTAGGTTTTCTGTGATGTTTTTAGCGAACAACCGCTGTCTGTTCATTTCGTGTTTGATACAACAAGTGGACGCCCATTTCAATGTTCCTACAAGAATGTCATCATTCTCTACATTATCTAAAATTCTGGAACACAATATTATAGAATAAAAATAAAACTATCAAAGTAAAAATCAAACCCGCAAAATTATTACTGGTAGTAGGACCTCTTGTGAGTCCGCGCGGGAAGGTACCATTATCCCCCCTATTTCAGCCGTGACGCAGTAATGCGTTTCGGTTTGAAGGGTGGGGCAGTCGTTGCAACTATACTGAGACCTTAGAACTTATATCTCAAGATGGGTGGCGCATTTACGTTGTAGATGTCTATAATCCAGTAACCACTTAACACTAAGTGGGCTGTGAGCTCGTCCAACCATTTAAGCAATAAATAAATAATAGGAATGAGAATGATGAATACTTATGATAAAGTATTTTCCATTAAGATAATCTAAATGTTTTCTAAATTTAATATAGATTATTGACTAGTAGGATTCGTTTTTTAGTGTACAAGCATTTGTGGTATACATCCAAAGAATGAGATGCCTCGTGTGCTCACTTATATTGGGCAATGCAGTCATGATCGGGTCAAAACATTGCAGATAGATGCAAATTTATAAGGAAATATCTACCCAATGTACATTAATTAATAAACTCCCACTCTGGAGAACTAACATGACTACTTAATGATGCTACAATAGTCTAATTCTGCACATTGACATACCATTTTTCTTAGTTAGCAAAATAATAAACTTTTCAGTATGAAAGTATAATAGAACAGGCATTATATAAAAATGCCTGTCTTAAGGCATGTGGCCTTATGTATATAATTATGTTAAATATTATGATAATAAGGTAGAATAAATATGTGGTGTCTACTTTGAACAAATCTGATATTTCGTTTTTATTAATGATAATATAATTAAATGATTACTTACGTTTTTATCAAGTCAATGCCTTTTGCGTCAAGCAAATCTGGTTGCGTGTCCATTAATGCTATCAATGTGTTTAGTACATTAATTATAAATTTAGCATCTTTATCACTTAGTTCTTGAGCGAAAACCTCTTGCTTGCTCTGTAGTAAATCTATTAAAACTTTATAAGCACCATCTTTACCGGCTCTTACTCTTCTGGCTATATCTTTAGTGCATTCTGTCTGAAGTAAAAAAATATTATGTTTGTAACATTCATGGCTCTGATAAATATTTAGTTTACTACCTGGATAAATCAAATTGTAACATTCTGAGATAAACATTAAAATCCATTTTGTTGCTTATTGCTGTGTGTGAACCATGTGTTGAGCTAGTCCAGGACACAAGTAAATGGAGACAAATCATATATTATCATGACTCTCTCTAGTGGTGGAATGACTAAGGAAAAAGAGGTATATATTAACATATGAAAGGTGATTTGTGAGTAGTCTCAAGTTGATAAGTTTCATAGTCATCACAGCAGAGCTTGATGAGATTCCACTAGTTATTAACTAACTAAATAAGCCAGTGTGGATAGATAGAGGCAATACCTTCAAAACATCCAAATATTTAAACAATTCTTCACAATCGTAATCTCTGCTGTTAAGTTCCTTTAGCTTTGAAACTGTTGTGGTGACCAAATGATCTTCTTCAGAGCTTAAAAACAGGTCTTTGATAATATTGGAGAGGTCTACACCCTGAAATAGACCAACAATATATATTTATCAATACATGTATGTTTATAGCAGTATACTGAAGTATTGAATATCAAAACTTCTGACATTTTAGAGAGAAAAACATAAAGATATACTGTTGCAATTAATTCACATTTTATGAAGATGCAATTCTAACAAAACAAAGCTAGGTTGCAAGGACCAATTAGCTCTTGGGTCAACAGTAAAATATTTATATATTTAATATTTCTGTGCACAACCCGGTTTTATTTTGTGGTTTTGGACAGAGTCATGTTTTTTGCTCTACCATAAGCTGTTGCTGTTCAAAAACGAATGGTTCCAGAAAGAGGTTTATTTAAAGGTAAAAAGTGGTGATTTTTCAGTTCCTTTATGTATTGCCAGGCTTATTAGTACATTTAACGTTACAAAATTGCTTCCTTAATTGCTAACTTACATAATTTTCTCTTTGCACAGTTAATTACTTTAACGAAAGCTACTTTTAAAATTCTTATAAATTTACGTTTTATTGCATATTACGTTTATTTAATCTACAATTGAAATATCTATTTTAAATTTTGTACATAATTTAATACAATTTAGTAATAAACAGGAAATTAGATTATTTTCGTAAAAGTGAATTTTCTTCATGAATATTAAGAAAGAATTATTGGAATTAGAATTATGTAAGCTTGTCAATGAAAACGTACTTTTGTAATACTACATTTAAACTGTCCATTTAACTATTTAAATACATATTTAATAGTTTTGTGTAGTCTATAGCGTGTAGAAATAGTGGTTTTGAAATTTCGGGTTAATGGAAGTAATCTTTAGTTTTAGACTTTAATGTATAACAACTTAATAAAATCTTATGTGATACATAGGTTGGATATATACTTAACTGCCCCTTAATACATACTTGTGCTTCAAATTGTGCAATTGCTTCATTTATAGCTTCTTGAGGACTCATTTCGAATTCTTCCATATTTTCCTTCACAACTTCATCGTAAGTTTCCTGAGTTATAACACGTACCATGCTTGTGATGTTATCTGAAGTTTTATATTAAAAAAATTGCAGTATGGTAATTTAATTTTGTTCAAAATTAAATTTAGTTTCACATACGGTATTTTTTGTTGTCAATTAACTTTTGAATGACTTCATTGTTGTAGTTTTTTTTTGTTCTTGTTCGATTCGTCCATTGGTTAAGCAAAGGGAACAACAACCATACAATTAATTTACAATTAAAAACAAGCCGAAAGCTATGTCTATTGTCTAAAAGTGATTGGTTTCGCAAAGTTGTGTAGATGATGTAGATCACATAGCTTTTATGGCTTATTTACATTTTGGACGTGGACGAGCTCACAGTCCACCTGGTGTTAAGTGGTTACTGGATCCCATAGACATATACAACGTAAATGCGCCACCCACCTTGAGATATAAGTTCTAAGGTCTCGTATAGTTACAACGCCTACCCCACCCTACAGACCGAAACGCATTACTACCTCACGCCAGAAATAGGCGGGGTGGTGGTGCCTACCCGTGCAGACACTCAAGAGGTCCTACCACTAGTAAAAACTTAAAATTAACTTCGTAAAACGTAAAACGTAACGTTTGTTGTAAGACTTGATTGATTCAATAATTCTAGTTTCTGAATTCAAAATAATATTTTAATGAACGAAATAATTTTGGATAATTTTGGAATAAAATATACTTTATTTTAAATTATATCCAATCAGAAATAGCTATAAAAAATAATTTAAATTCGTAAATATTGTAAAACAAAATTTAAATCAAATGTTATTCTTGTTACCAATGTTAGCATATAAAGTAACATTTCAGATTTTTTGTGATTTTTAATTGAAATTTATATGCATTAGTTGCGTCAAATTGTATTGCTAAAATTGTTAAACGGAAGTTTTCGAACTTGTCACTGTGTATGACGCATACGCCAAGAAATAACATCGAATTAATTTCGCATTGTACCTACGCGTAATTCATGATTGTGTTACGAAAGCGCTGATTTAGGCCTAGAAAAGAATAAGTGGNCAGATTTTTTGTGATTTTTAATTGAAATTTATATGCATTAGTTGCGTCAAATTGTATTGCTAAAATTGTTAAACGGAAGTTTTCGAACTTGTCACTGTGTATGACGCATACGCCAAGAAATAACATCGAATTAATTTCGCATTGTACCTACGCGTAATTCATGATTGTGTTACGAAAGCGCTGATTTAGGCCTAGAAAAGAATAAGTGGTTTCCAAAATGAGTTTTCTCGGGAAAATATTCGGTGGCAAAAAAGAAGAGAAGGGGCCCACTACGCATGAAGCTATCCAAAAACTCCGTGAAACTGAAGAATTGCTGATCAAGAAGCAAGAGTTTTTGGAAAAGAAGATCGATTTAGAAGTACAGACAGCCAGGAAACATGGCACTAAGAACAAAAGAGGTACGTGTGTGAGAGTGTTTTTGTTGTCATCTGTCCCATCATCAATTTAGTGACCTTGTTTTAAATTTATTTAGTTTATCCTTACTCTTTGTAAAACGCAATCATCCACAGCTGCCGCATTGTGCGGACACCTAGTCAATAAAGAAATGTTACAGATTTTTTTGTATTCCAAATTGAGTGTCGAATGAATATTATTAATGATGCACAACTACTTAAAATGGCTGTGTATTGTTTGGAAAGTGTAATGACTAATTATATTGGGAATCTGTGATAGTTGTGCTTATATGAATATATAAAGGACTATGTGAATAAGTTTGTAAATCCTAGTTGCCTGGTTATAAATTGTAAGGTACAAAATCTTGTATGATGATGAGTTACTAGATTACAGCCACTACTTAATATTCTATTGGTAGTAGAAGAATCTTTGTCTAATTATCTAATACACCTGTTATTTCTTATATTCACTTAGATTAAGTACTGGTACTTATAAAACTGTAGAACATCAGACTTCAACATGATATTATTATATTGACATTGCTTAACATAGCAACAAAATGGATAAGAGCAGAGATTATTTACATAACTTTAATGTATATGAAATATCTCTATTTGTAACAAATCTAAATAAGAAGTGCCCTCCGGTGCAATGTAGGCTTTCTGCAAGGATGACCGACAACCTGTTGAAGGTTACAGGAATCTAGATGCGTGGAGGGCAGGTTTGTTCACTATAGTAAACCTTCCAGAGGCTTATGTCTAGAAAACTTGTGGGTGATGAATAAACATTCAATTAGTTTGTTAGTTTTGTATTGATAATAAACTTGTAATACCACCACCACACCACATTCAATGCTAAGTAAATTATATTAAACCAGAGACTTCTATGCCAGCCAAAAATAACTAGAAATAATTCAGCTCGATCTTGAATGCAAACAAAGAAAAAAAAACGTTATCTTAAAACTAAGCAAAAGAAATAGTTTTGTTTATAGAAGTATCTTAATACGTATAAAATTAAAAAAACTAACATATGCTTAATAGGTTGCCCTTAAATCTATATTCCCCTTGATTCGTTGTTTGTCAAGGATAAATCCATCAGGGAGATTTTTCGAAACCTTATAGAATAATATTACTTTGTGTTGTTTGTACTGTATGGCTTGGTAATTGACCTGCTACTGAACAATTTCAGTAAAGACTACACCGGTACACTATCTATTACACATAAGCTACTAACAACAGTCAATAACAATTCAGTTCTAAAAGATTAATTGAAGTGTCTGGACCCAAGACTGAGCCACGCACTTCACTGTGCCACTGACTAACATAAGTGGCTACAAATTACAAAAAAAGGTCAGAAGCGGGCGCGTCACGATGCTCAGCAATGAAAGATCGACTGAAGGAGGAGGAGAGAATTTCTGTCAAATGTGCTCCTTCCGCATGTATTTAAACTTCTAACAAACTCTTTGTGTGTGTGTGTGTTTTTTTTCCTACCTAACCTAATGACGTTGGATACACGAACCCTAGCAAGAGCCTCAGAATCTGAGGAGCACGGCTCTTCCACCTGATCGGAAACGCGACCCACTGAAAAGATCCGGAGAGAAACTCAGTGGGCTTTGTGTATTAATTTTAGTACAACAATACTCTAATAAATGTACATATGAATATGTATGAAAAAACTAATGTGTATGCTCCATCAAGGTCAGACAGAACTAAAATTACATGTTGTGCATTATACAAGATAATTCTGTCAGTTCTGATGTGGCTTTCTCTTGTCATTTCAGCTGCCATTGCAGCTCTCAAGCGGAAGAAGAGATACGAGAAGCAACTTACTCAAATAGATGGGACCCTCACTCAGATTGAGGCCCAAAGGGAAGCGCTAGAAGGTGCCAATACCAATGCCCAAGTATTGAACACTATGCGCGAGGCAGCTAATGCCATGAAGCTCGCACACAAAGACATGTATGTATTGAATCTATTGATAATTGACAAGGGGCCCGCACTGGCTCCGCTCGGGTCTTTAACAAAAATTTCAATGATATTTGACGTTGTTTTATTTTTTTAAATACAAGAACACTTTTTGCGGCATAACTATAATAGTTGACATATGCTGTCGTGGCACTTTTTGTAAATGATAATTTGTTCTACCAAGTCGTACTACATTATTTTATTCTATCATGAATAGTTTTCGCAGGGCACGTGATGTAAAGAATATTTTAGGTAATTTTTGACACCTTGGATTATATTATTGGAGTTTTAGTAAGGATCTCTAATTTTTTTCAAAAAAAGAATGTCACGCGGGAATAGTGTAGCTTTCAAACAGTGAATTAATTTTTCAAATCGATTCAGTACTTTCGGAGCCTATTCAATACAAACAAACAAACAAATCTTTCCTCTTTATAATATTAGTATAGATAACAGAATAACCCTACTTGTTAAATAACTGACAGCTAAATATATTGAGGTAAAAATAGAGGTCATAAATTAGTGGTTTTCCCAATTACAACCTAAGCATATGATTGTTTTGTATCAGAAATAGACAGAATGGCTTGTAGCCATAATTTGAGTGGCAAATAAGACTGATTATTTTTTCCTTTACTGTATCGATAGTAGTTTTATTTATAAAAAAAAAATCGTAATTAAAAAAAAAAGACTGCCACGACAATAAATATGTTCATGACGTAGAAAAAAAAACCATTAATATATTGTGTAGTGTAATAATGAGGGTATGAGGGTATTCATTCTCCTTTTCACAAAAATGATTACTAAGTGCAGAGACTATTAAAACACATACATAATGAACTGATATGTTACTCAACACATGCTTATAATTCACTATATAAAATAATAAAACAATGTGTGTTCTTGTGTATCACAGCGATGTGGACAAAGTACACGATATCATGGATGATATTGCTGAACAACACGATATCTCTCGTGAGATCACCGAGGCGATCAGTAACAATGTGGCCTTCCCTAATGATATAGATGAAGATGAACTCGAGAAGGAACTTGAAGAATTAGAACAGGTATGTAATGTGCATGGTAGAGTCATAATTAAATTACTTCTATATATCAGTGTTGCCATCACAAGGCAAATCGACAATTTACGTCAGATATATAATAAAAAAATAAAAAAATTAGTCTTTACTTACATATTAAGTATTACAACTTAATTAAACACTGTGTTATATTTACTTGGATATAGATAGTTCCACCTACTGATGTAGTGTTGAGCTATTTATTCATTCAAATGTTTGGTTTGATAATTCTGCACAAACCATCGTAATCAATTCTAGTGATATTGACAACCCTAAAGTAAATATCATAAAGCTATCATGTTAAATATTCATATGCATTGAAATATTAAATTTGGAGTAGTAGTACCTATTCTCTTCAAGTTAAAGTACTTTTGAGGTCTCTTGACCCAAAACGAGAAGTGCTGGTGGTAGGACCTCTTGTAAGTCCGGACGGGTAGGTACCACCGCCTTGCCTATTTCTACCGTGAAGCAGTAATGCGTTTCGGTTAGAAGACTGGGGCAGCCGTTGTAACTATACTGAGACCTTATATCTCAAGGTGGGTGGCGCATATACGTTGTAGATGTCTATGGGATCCAGTAACCACTTAACACCAGATGGGCTGTGTGCTCGTCCACCCATCTAAGCAATAAAGAAATAAAAAATAAAAAATATTTTCTTGAAGCAATGACTACCACATGTTTTAACCCTTAGACAGCCCACTGAGTTTCTTGCCAGATCTTCTCAGTGGGTCGCGTTTCCGATCCGGTGGTAGATTCTGCGAAGCACGGCTCTTGCTAGGGTTCGTGTTAGCAACGTCGTCAGGTTTGAGCCCCGTGAGCTCACCTACTAGTTAAGGTTCCGCTGATATAGCCTCTCAAGGCTACCAGCTTAGGTAGGGAAAAAAAAATATATGGAAATGTTTTATATGAAAGTAATGTGGTTTTTTTTTAACAGGAGGATCTGGACAAGGAGATGCTGGGCATCAATGTGCCGACGGACACGCTGCCCGATGTCCCGGCCTCGGAACTGGTACACGACAAACCCAAACCGAGCAAGTCGAAACAAACAGGTACGATCTGTTCTTTTGTGTCATGAGGAGACTCAAATAAATCAAGCCTGCCAAATTATAATTTGCTTAATTACTGGTGTTAAGAAGTCTTGTGAGTCTGCTCGAGTACGTACCACCGCCCTGCCTATTTCTGCCGTGAAGCAGTAATGCGCTTCGGTTGGAAGGGTAGATCAAGCTTTTGTACTCATGTAAGACTCGTGTCTCTAGGTGGGTGGTGTCATTTACGTCATATTTGTCTATGGGATTCGGTAAACACTTAACATCAGGTGGGCCGTGATCTAGTTTACCCAGGTAAGCAATAAAAAAGAAGTCACCGGGCTCTGAGCTAGTTTATTTTATTGTTGGGTTCTTGGATAGAGCTCACGGCTTACCTGCTGATAAATGTTTACTGGAGTGCATAGCATTAACAGCGTCAATGCCACCACCCACCTTGAGGCGTGAGTTTGTTTTTGAACACAAGACTTGTGTTTACCGAAACGTGGCACTGCTTCACGGCAGAAATAGGCAGGGCGGTGGTATCTACTCGAGCGAGCAGTAATTCGGTTTGAAGGGCGGGGCAGCCGTTGTAACTATACTTGAGACCTTAGAACTTATATTCAAGGTGTGTGGCGCATTTACGATGTGGATGTCTATGGACTCCAGTAACCACTAACACCAGGTGGGCTGTGAGCTCGTCTGTCCATCTAAGCAATGAAAAAAAATTTTTTTAAACGCATTGCTGCTTTATGGCAGAAATGGGCAGGGTGCTGGTACCCACCCGCGCGGACTCACAAGAGGTCCTACCACCAGCAAAGATACGCAAATTATAATTTTTAATGCGTTTCATTTTTATTACACGATGCTATTCCGTCACCGTGTCCCTTTCACACTCATAAGCTAGATCGCGCGAGAGAGAGATGGGCAGACTTTGATGCGCATGCAGTGTGACGTCACGCCGCGCGCTTATTCACAAACACTACACAAGCGTAACGTGTGAATGTGTTGAACGCGAGCTACATGGTAGGCGGAGTGGGGGTGTTAGGTTTTATTTTCGTTACGGAATTTCTTGATTCGGTCGCCGCGCTCAATACCCGCGATAAAAGCTATGCAATAGTTTAAAATGTTTTAATAAATAAAAAGTGTTAAATTTCCAGAGGACGACGATGAGCTTGCTCAGCTGCAGTCGTGGGCCACATAGGACGCGGCCGCGGCGCCCCGCTGTACTTCGCCGGAGCTTTCATCGGAGCTTTCACAATCCAGTACTGCACCGCTTATCGTATCCCTCAATCCCATACAAAACTTGATACGGAAGCTCAGTCAAAGCTTGTCCGCAATATCGGTGCCGAAAATCGAGCTTCCGAGAAAAGCTTCGGCCAGATATAAGAGGCATCGGCAGATGGGCGACGACCTACATCGACGTTTAGAAATCGATCAGGCACTAAGAATGACAGGTCTATGGTAATTTCAATATCGGCATTTTGTCAGAACTTCGCTTGGGTAATAATAAGCTCTGCCATGATTTGTAATATACGTTTGGCAATAAGCAAACCATTCCTTTGTGTAATTTTTCATAACACTATGGAATATTATGGTCGATAATACAATAATAATCGTAATAAACTCAGAACTTTAATCGGTCAAGACTTCACATTTTACGACACGGTCATGTAACTTTGAATTTTCGTGTATATAATATCGACGTTGTTAACTTGACTAACGTAATAAGATCTGTTAAAATGCTTTAAACGGAAATATCAAAAATATTTGTCTTTCAATTAGAATACTCACCCCGAAAAAATATGTGATTATAAGCAAGAAGAAAATGTAGAAGTGACTGATCAAGTGAGTGAATTAATTGGATTAAAATACAATATATTGTGAGCAAAGTACAAATATGACATAAAAGATTAGTCTTAGTATGATTAACATACGATTCAAGATTGATCTAGTAATGTTTAACAGATGTTCAAGCAAATTCATAAAGAATTCTTAATAATAATAATCTTTAATAATAGTACCGATTAATTAACTCAAATTCAATGAGTGTGTTAATTGTAATGATACGTTAGGTATTTTCAATGAATGTTCTAAAAATTGTCGTATAGTATCAATTTAGCAAGAAAAAAGTTTGTTCAGGAGTACACAGAAATGATGAATCGATCATTAGACAACGCACAATTCAAATTATGTGAAATCGCATAACAGTCTCTTATATGAAATTTGCGATATCTGTGCTCGACTATGACCGCGTTTCATTGGGAGGGATATAGGCTCATTAATATTTATCCTTTTTTTTTATATTGGTGGACGAGCTCACAGCCCACCTGGTGTTAAGTGGTTACTGGAGCCCATAGACATCTACAACGTAAATGCGCGCCACCCACCTTGAGATATAAGTTCTAAGGCCTCAAGTATAGTTACAATACAACGGCGGCCCCACCCTTCAAACCGAAACGCATTACTGCTTCACGGCAGAAATAGGCAGGGTGGTGTTACCTACCCGTGCGGACTCATAAGAGGTCCTACCACCAGTAAAAAATAATATTCACAATGATACTATAACAGTTAATTAATAACTTTACATAAAATAATCACCCAAATTTGACCCAATAGGTAATCCAATTAGTTCAATTAAATAGTACAGTAGCTGTATAGCAATTTCATATTCTAATTATTAACATTAATAAAATAATTGAATGATTTTAGAAGTTGAGTTTTAAAATTATGGAATTATTTTAGACAGTATTCCGTTAATTGTTGTATTTATTAATCATTATTGTGGCCTTGTTTTAGATGTATTAATGTCGCTGGTGTGTCGCTCTTCTGCCGTTTGTGCTTCTAATTATGTGATATGTATGTATGTATGTATGAAAATAATTATGTATTATAGTGTGACATAATATTTAGCGAATTTGTAATTTTCATTTTTTATTTTAATTACAAAATAGTCGTAATTATTATTTTTCTGAGGAAAATAATTGAATTATTTTTTTGGGTTAAATAAAAAGCTAATAGATTTATTTTGAGATTTATTTTCTTTGCATGTAACATAATTTCATAAGTGTAATACGGTTCTTTTTTTAAAATTGTAAACGCCTTATATTAAAAAGAAAATAAAAAATATAAAAAAAGGTTTTGATTTTTATTAAGGATTGTATCACATCGCTCATTAATATGCTATAGATCAGCGGTCGGGGAACCGGGGTAAATTACCCCAAATGGGGTAAAATGATATTTTGGGGGGTAAATTTTTTTTTATTGCCCTTGTAGGCAGACGAGCATACGGCCCACCTGATGGTGAGTGGTTACCGTCGCCCATGGACTTCAGCAATGCTAGGGGCAGAGCCAAGCCGCTGCCTACCGAGCCAAGCCGCTGCCTACAATGAAACTTTTGTGAGTAAAAAGTATATATTAAAGTGAAACCGTTTTGTATTACTAGGTATTACATTGATAAATTGAATAAATGATGTTTAAATTAAATTTTTAGTTATTGTTTTCTTTTCAAAACTATCACGGGGGCTTATAATATGAAAGATGCTAAAAAGAAGTGATTTCGTTTTTTTTGTTCTTCGCCACGGGGTAATATCAACTTACACAAAAATATTTTGGGGTAATGATTAAAAAAGTTCCCCGACCGCTGCTTTAGATTGATGCTCGATGTTAGATTCGAGTTATTCTAGGTACTTTTTTTTTTTTATGTTTGAAAGTTTACTGGTGGCCCGAAGGCCTTTCCAGTTTCACCAGGACAGGTGGGCGAGCAAAGGCTCAGCCAAGAGGGGCGGGATTTGCTAACAACTGCCCGAGCGCCTCCGAAGGAGACCTAACAACTCGAGCAATTGTTTCGCGAATGAATCTACTACCGGATCGGAATCGCGACCCGCTGAGAAGATCCGTCGAGAAACTCAGCGGGCTGATGCATGGGTTAGGTTGCACGTCGACCTCTTTGTCGAGTTCGACGAGTACGGTTACCGGGTCCCTAAGCCTGCCCCTAGTATTAGAGCTGAAGGCATCTAATGCAAAGGTTATTGGATCTGATGTATCCGTAAGGACGTGTCTAGGGCGTCGACGGTGACTGGCTCCTGCATGATCAGGATTTGGGGAGTAGTCAGCGGCGGCAACGATAAGGCGATTATCATTCTAGGTACATGCATCGATGTTACGATAGGAAATGGATATTGAATCGAAACTACACCCTCGTCTCTCAAAGTCGGAGGATGTGACCATCAAACTCCTAAAACCATCAAACCTATATTATCAGCGTGTACTATATTTTTTGCTTATGAAATTAACTGCTTTTGACTGAGTCGATGGTGTAATAATTAGCACCCCCGACTATTGCGCGGTCGTGCTTTCGATTCCAGCATCGGCCACTGATTCTTGTGACAGGTTTATTGAAGTGAGACTTCTAATGCGGCTTCCAACAAGGTTGCGTTAAACGTTTAACGCTACCATACTTTTTTTATTGCTTAGATGGGTGGACGAGCTCACGGCCCACCTGGTGTTAAGTGGTTACTGGAGCCCATAGACATCTACAAGGTAAATGCGCCAACTACCTTGAGATATAATATCTAAGGTCTCAGTATTGTTACAACGGCTGCCCCACCCTTCAAACCGAAACGCATGACTGCCTCACGGCAGAAATAGGCGGGGTGGTGGTACCTACCCGCGCGAACTCACAAGAGCTACTCCAAGCTCCAAACAAGCTACTCCAAGCTCCAAGCAAGCTACTCCAAGCTTCAAGCAAGCTACTCCAAGCTCCAAGCAAGCTACTCCAAGCTCAAAGCAAGTTACTCCAGCTCACAACTACCACCAGTAAAACGACAGAAAGTAGACTAAAAAGAAGAATGTAGACTAAATACTAGAAAGAGACAGTGAGAATGAATGCGTGGCACTCGAACGCACGCGCGTAGTAGATAGCAACGAGTAGCGTCCAATATTTTAATGAACTATTTAAACAAAAAAAATATTTTTCTATCCATAATTTAAAATATTTAAAGTATAAATGTTGAAGATGTCGCATCTCTTATACTCAGCATTCCCTATTACAAGAGCAAAAAAGAAGTTTCACTTCATTCACGTACACCAAGTTGCACGCGTATTAATTTAATTTTTTTTTGCTCTGTCGTGGTATCTATTATATAATACGCCGTAACACCAGGAGTGGAAAGAAGAGAGAGAGAATATACTTTATTGCACGCCAAAACATAATTAGCATTAAAAAACTGTCAACGACCAGGTATATTTATTCAATAGGCGGTCTTTTCGCTAAAATAAATTTCTAGACAAACGTTTTATTTACAGAAATTCTGAAAAGATACCTTCAGTAGGTATGCTGTAGGTCTAGGTTTTAACAATATCTAGAGTGGTCTATCAAGATGGACCAAACCATTATGCACATATATATTATATTATGTATTTTATTAATGTGCATACTTATGTTACATATAGAAACGAAGGTAGGTAGTTGGGGAATTAGTAACGCTATTATCTGTCCAGACTGGACGCCGATGCTGGTTGTAAGCGGGTAACTGGCATTATTTTGAATCGGGAAAAGAGTTATTGTGGAAGAAGAGAGTGCGTATTTATTTTTGATAGGATACATGAATATACCTAAGCGTTAAAGTCGTATTGGTAGTGATTACCAATCAACACTAGATGGGGTGAGACCTCGTTCACTTAAAACAAACAAACAAAAAGCAATGAAACTTAACAAGTTTATGCTTCACGTATTAATATATAGATAAAGCTACAGGGGTGGTTTCTCCTCTGCCGCACCCAAAATCTGGAATAACTTGCCTCCGTCTTTGATAAGTAGACTCTCACAAGGATTAAACCCTTTCAAATTGTACTTAAGCAGCAAAGTGCGCAGGTAGGTATTCTGTAGATTACGCCACATAATTTTAAATTTAGCTATTATTAGATTTAAGTTGATAGATTAAGATTACAGGCAGCGGCAGAATAACAGCGATAGTTTCAGCTATCCTTTTTATCTCCACAGTGTTAGTATAGTATATTGTAATATTGTTTAGAATTAGAATTTTGATGTGTTTGTGTGGAGTAAATAAATGCAATTATTATTATTATTAAATCACAAAATTTAATAACGGACCAAAACACGAAGGTCGAACCTCATCCTTCTTGAAGTCGATTAAAAATATATTATTATTCGTGTTTTAATAAATACGTAATGTTTTACACAACATTAATTACACAATATTTTATAACAGAATGCCATAAATCATTGTGTCGTCCGTGTTTGTGATTCAGGAAGCGTTATCGATTTGCGAGTTGAATTTTTTGAATCGCAATGAGCATACTTTCCCCTCGCGGGTGTATTCTGGAGTACGATTATCGAAAAACAATCCTATTTCTTTTTTTAAATTCGAATAGCTCTTTTTAGGGTATTATCGAGTTAATACACGGAAAGCCATGAGGTCAGAACTCACGAGGGACCTTTATACTTATTGATAAACTGTCAAAGACTGGTGGTAGGACCTCTTGTGAGTCCGCACGGGTAGGTACCACCACCTTGCCTATTTCTGCCGTGAAGCAGTAATGAATTTCGGTTTGAACGGTGGGGCAGCGGTTGTAACTATACTTTTTTTTTATTGCCATTTTAGGCAGACGAGCATACGGCCCACTTGATGGTAAGTGGTCACCGTCGCTCATGGACGTCAGCAATGCCAGGGGCAGAGCCAAGCCGCTGCCTACCGATAAGTACTCTCCGCAAGCCTCGTTTGAAGAAGGACATGTCATAGCGCTCGGAAAACACCGTGGAGGGGAGTTCATTCCAAAGCCGGATGGTAAGTGGCAGAAAAGATCTTTTGAAACGCATTGTCGATGAACGCAGTGGTTCCAGATAATATGGATGAACTCTGCTCCTGCTCTGCTCTGATTTGAGACCTTAGAACTAATATGTCAAGGTGGGTGGGGCATTTACGTTGTAGATGTTTATGGGCTCCAGTAACCACTTAACACCAGGTGGGCTGTGAGCTCGTCCACCCATCTAAGCATTAAAAAAAAACCAATTTCTTACTATATTTATTTTGGGCCGATTTGAGTCACTATGTCCACTTGATATTGGTATATATTAGTGCTGTCAGTATTGCCTATTCCATGTAAATTGCTGATGGCATTCGTGAACATCCCATCGCATTATTATGAAAATTTTGGGAAAAAGTTATGCCTATGTTCACTAACGCAGTTTTTACTGTGTGTTATTAATAAAATTTCTAGTGAACAGAATAAGGCGCCTCCTAAATTTAAGTCATGCTGCAATCCGTAGCATATATCGTGTACGCGTGGGGACATTAGCTCAGTAACCTGCCTGTGACAATGTCTGGCACTATGAGGGGACTCATACTGGTGAGTTGCTTTTAAAGTTATTTTAAAGAATGAAATTCTACAATATCGTATGAATTTCAAAGTTAGTTTTTCATATTTCGTTTGATGTTTGGGCTTGAGAGACTTGTAGGTAGTGTAAAGAATAAAAAATGTTTAACTCAGTGAAATATTTAGATTGGATTTTGTAGATAAACACAAGCAGTTTTTGTTTGGAAAAAAAATCATGGAATTTAATGCTCCTGGAAAATGAGGTGGGATTAAATAAATGCTCAGTGAAATTGTGGTTAGAGACTTCAGTGAATTTTCGAATAGTCTGAGAACGTCTAGCGATTTTATTTCATTTTCCCACACCTATAAACTTTTACAGATGCGAAACGGGTAATTAGTTACTGCTATCACATATTTCTCATATCACATCGAAGCGACGGGGCAACACAAAAATTGTTATCGCCCGAAACATGTCTCATCGGATACCCTAGTACTTTTAGGCTATTCAAGCATCAGTTGCCATCTTCGTCGCACACGAAGAGCGAATTAATTCACTGAGTTTCTCGCCGGATCTTCTCAGTGGGTCACTATATTCCTATGTGATTAACTGAATGGTACATTTAATCCGCAGATAACCCTCCTCCATCTGTCATTCGCGACGATTGACGTTAAGAAGCTTACAGAAGAAGCTGGCACCAAACTCCACACTTTGACAGACACTGCCGCGACGACACTTCAGACTATCGGCGACCAGGCCACGATCAAACTGCAAACGCTTAGCGATCAAACGTCAGCGGCCATAAAGAGCTTAGTTGAAAACATAGATTTGTATAAACTAAAGCAATTAGATTTTTTGAACGTAATCCCTAGAATTCAAGACCGCTTGCATCACGCCCCCAATCATTTGGAAAAAGCTAAAGCGATATTGGGAAAAATTCAAAGTCTTACGGGCAAAGATTTGGTAATGGCTTTCGACGGAGATGTCCCTTGGCCTTTGAGAAGAAACGACGATATATATAAAGTTTATGAAATATAATTACTTCAGTAGCAATAGCAGCGTTATATCTAGATTAAAAGGCACTCGTCTGTGACTAACATTTGGCGATGCCTAAAAACGTACTTAAGCCATAGATTTATCGACCATAAAGACTAGAGATTCGGTTAACAAATCGTTTACTACGGAGAGTAGAATTAAGGAGGACCATCTCTCTGAAAGGGAGCCAATCAAGGTGGCGCCGTTGTAGCAAGTGGATAGATGTTAAAAACAGCGCCATAAAATATTAGAGTACAATACTAAATTACGAAGGAATAAGACACTTTCCACGTAAATAGGAAAATTTGTTGAGGTTTTTAAATCTTCTATATATCTATATATATAAAAATGAATTGCTGTTCGTTAGTCTCGCTAAAACTCGAGAACGGCTGGACCGATTTGGCTAATTTTGGTCTTGAATTATTTGTGGAAGTCCAGAGAAGGTTTAAAAGGTAGATAAATATGAAAATGCGCGGAATTAAATAAAAATAACAATTTTGTTTTTTCTTTGATGTGTCCCCCGTCGATCGTATTCTTTTTGTTTGTTTGAAGTTTGATTTATACAAAAGTTTAGAGCTTTTATTTATCTATATGATACACGAAAAATATTAAATTTTCAAATCTAGCACACTTCACTCTGTTTAAAGACTTGCTATATTCATATAATTTACACTTCCGATACTAGCGCTATTTCGGTGTGTTTCAAAAATAGCTTGCTGTTTACAGGTGAACAGTTTTTCATCTTGTCCCCTATACAAGATGGCACTCCTTACTTCTACCCTCCATATCGGATACAAAGTTATCCGAACTATCTTCGAGTTTTGATGTAACATTAGGTAATAATACTTCATCTGTAATGCATTGCATTTGAATATGCAATTACGAAAAGGGCACATCTCTGAAAATGTAAAATGTTCAGGAAATGAAAAAAAACTGATTATTTTCTAAAGCAGTGTAAATTTAAAATATTAACTTTTGAGATATATTTTAGTGTTAATTAGCAATTGAAAATTACTGAAATTATTATAAAATGGGTGTAGGTAAGCCTCAAAACTACATGTATATGAAAAAACGTATTTGACAAAATATGCGACATATGCCCTTTTCGAAATTGCATATTCATTTGTATTTTGATCAACCAATGAAATTGAAGCTTTATGGCCATGAATTAAAGTAGTTTTCGCAAATGAAATGCCGTGGCTCATTGTCAGTTATCGCGTTATTTGACGTTTGTGAGACGAAGTACCTTAGAGTCAAATTGGATTGAACTCGATAAACCTGCCATAAAATTAGGTACCTTCAAGATCTTGCTAAAATATTTATTGTAATTTTTTTTATAATAAAATGAACAATAACTTAAAATGAGTTTTATTTGATGTACATTTTGCTAGACGAAAGTAAATTCACAAAATATCGTGACGTCATGAAGGGATGTTAAAAAAACGATCTTGTACGACTCACCTGTGAGACTTCAAATGCTTGGCCTCGGCCTGAAGATGAATATGGGCACCTCATTTTTCCGCAGCTCTCGTATAAGGGGGTTCGACATATTCTTATATTATTACTGGTGGTAGAACTTCTTGTGAGTAAGTCCGTACGGGTAGGTACCACCACCCTGCCTATTTCTGCCGTGAAGCAGTAATGCGTTTCGGTTCGGAAGGGCGGGGCAGCCGTTATAACTATACTGAGACCTTAGAACTTATATCTCAAGGTGGGTGGCGCATTTACGTTGTAGATGTCTATGGGCTCCACTGACCACTTAGCACCAGGTGGGCTGTGAGCTCGTCCAACTATCGAAGCAAAAAAAAAGATCGGTTTGCCAATTTGAATGCATAATCCCACTTACGCATTAAAATTGGCACTTCTAACAATGCTTTGGGTTAGACGACGGCATTAACATCAACAGGTATCAGCAGACCCTAAATACCAAGTAAAATAATGACTGCTCTGTTTACATAATTAAAAAAAAAGCTCTCTTTATTCAATCTATTTATTTTCCGATACTCAAATCGTTCAATAGCTTATCGAATACGTCATCGACGTCGCTGCTGCTCTTCGGCATGAAATCGTCCATCAGTCCGTTTTGGAAGCTCCCGAATTCGTCATTGGCTCCCGCGTCCGCCAGCCCTAGCTCTGTCAGGAGTGTCAAGTTGTCCGAAACGTCATTATTCTCGGATCTGTCAATGTCAACGGTGTCGATACCCGGGAGAAGCTGTTCGGTAGCGTCATTGTGCTCATTGTCGTCCGTCTGACGTTTCTTCATCAACTTCGCCTCTCTCGTGTCGTTAACAGACAAATCGTGGTACTCTTGTATTTCTTTTGCGTATTCTATATCTTCATCTTGGACGTCCTAGATTTTTTTCAATTTAAATTAAAAATGTGTTTCTACCTTTTCGCTGGTAGGTGAGCTCACGGGTTCAACCGGGGACAATTTGCTAACACTAACCCTAGCGAGAGCAGTGCTTCGCTAAATCTACCACCAGATCGGAAACGCAACCCACTGAGAAGATTCGATGAGAAACTCAGTGGGTTAATGAATATGTTCCTTCGAGCTTTGCGATTTATTTTTAAATAGCTAAGGCAAGTGCGGTTTAGATCACATTACCAGACTGACATCCGTGTTAGTTACATATCAGTAATAATTAACAGACTACCCGCGCGGTTAGCATTAAACTACAGTTCAAGGAAGACAGTAAGAGCTTAACAGCAATACGAATTATTAATAAAAAAACCTACTCCTCATTAACATCATCATCATCGGCATATAGCTGTCCACTGCTGGACACAGGCCTCTCCAATTGCCGGTCATTAAGCACGATCCTCGGCTTCTAGTATCCAGCTCTTACCAGTCACCCTGCACTACGTCTACCAATTCGTTTCCACCCAAGAACACGTTTACTCCAACGGTTATTGGTCCTCCGTGTAAACAGTCGACGTCGCCCTAAACACGTCATTATGGATCCTTCCGATCTATTAACGGTGCTTTTAGGTACCTCAAGCACCAGTTACCGTCCTCGTCGAACCCGTCGCTTGCGACGAAGGGCTCGACGAGTAAATTAACCCTCAGACACAGCCCACTGAGTTTCTCGCCGGATCTTCTCAGTGGGTCGCGTTTCCGATCCGGTGGTAGATTCTGTGAAGCACTGCACTTGCTAGGGCCAGTCTTAGCAACATTTCCGGTTTGAGCCCCATGAGATCACCTACACGTTAAGGCGAAGCTAACATAGCCTCTCAAGGCTATCAGCATAGGTAGGAGAAAAAAAGGTCCTCCGGCTAATATGGCCGGTCCATTGCCACTTCAGCTAACTACTCAGCTGTACTAAGCCGATTTCAAAGAAATAAAATGCGAACATCATTAGAATAGTCGAAGTTAATTGAATATGCATTAATGAATATACTTAAATGGGACCTTATGAGTAGAAACAGTCTTCAAATAAATAAAAAGGTCTATTAAAATTGGTTCAACTAGAAGGATAAGCTGCTCCATTTTTAAGTGGATTAAAAACACTTACCTCACTAATTTGACCTGCCGATTTATACTGAAAACAGTTCTGCGAGAGGTCAACTTCGACTGGGAACAATGTAGAATTCTCCATTAAATGCTCTAAGGTTTCGCTGTAAAAGGTTTTTAGGTAAACTCTTTCAATAATGGCCTATATTTTGTTTCTATATTGGAGTATCCCAAATTTCAGTAAAACCGGATGTCTTCAACGAACGATACCGTAATATCTCCACAGCCTTATTCACGGAGACTTACTTGTGGTAAACGGCCAGTCCCTGAATGAACTTTTTGAGTTGATGGGCGACGTCCTGCGCTTTCTTATTCTCTAGAAGCTCCAGCTTTACCAGAACGTCCGATCTGAGTCTGGCAAATCTTGTTCTGGCGTCTTGGCGACAACGCAATATCAACCTGCAATTGTGCACGTAACAGAGCGAGAGAGGCTTGCGTACTTACTGGCGGTAGGACCAGTGTGACAGTGTTCTTAGTTCAGAGTTTTTTTACATCTCGATCGCGTAAAAGCTAACTCAAATTTGTATGTAAGTTGGAACAGATTTCCTCCGTTTGCCGCTAGGGTTGCTGTTCCATACAAATTTGGGTTAACTATTACGAGATCGAGAACGCTAACAACTCCGAATAAAAAAAATAAGTTTTTTTTATTGCTTAGATGGATGGACAAGCTCACAGCCCACTTGGTGTTAAGTGGTTACTGGAACCCATAGACATCTATAAGTTAAATGCGCCACCCACCTCGAGATATAAGTTTTAAGGTCTCAAGTATAGTTACAACAGCCTTCAAACCGAAACGCATTACTGCTTCACGGCAGAAATAGGCAGGGTGGTGGTACCTTCCCGTGCGGACACACAAGAAGTCCTACCACCAGTAATTGTAAAACAAACTGCGTACAAACAAACTTTTACGCGATCGAGTTAAAAAACTCTGAACTAAGATCACTGGTGACAGTCTGACCTGATAATTTGTCGAAGCGCATGGAGGGTGCGTATAAATATAATATATATGTACATGTGGGTAGATTGGTATTGTTAAGCTATAATTTACAACTTATTTTTACAGTTTTTAATTAGTTCACACTGGCACACTAGTTTTTTTTTAAAAAGAACATGAATGTCAATGTCAATTATTGACTGGTCATGATGATGATACGAGTGCTGTTAATTAATTTTAAATAAAAGATTTTGGTGTTAAAATTAAATTCCACTAGTTTTCGCCTTACGATCCCATATACATATTATTATCTAAATTTATTGCTTAGATAGGAGAATAAGCATATGGTCCACCTGATGTTTAAGCCTAAACTTGAGATATGAGTTCCAAGTCTCAGTTCTATAGTACATCATCAGCCTGTATCTCTCCACTGCTGGGTGTAGGCCTCTTCCATAGTCCTCCCCAACGAATGAATATGGCCACAAGTCATTGGTCCTCCAAACAGGGTACGCCCAACCCCGCGCTCACCCCCAAGGCTCTATAGCATAACAGCTGCCCCAATTTTAGTACAGGAACACATTACTGCTTCACGCCAGAAATAGGCAGGACGGTGGTGCCTAGCCGTGCGGGCTCACAAGGTACCACCAATACTTGTGAAGCGTGGAATATGGTATACGTATGTACATTCTAAACACATGATATTCTATCTTATTTATGCATATATATGAGTATTTCTTTCATAAGCACAATATTTGCTTACATACCAAGAGACTATTACCTTAGCGCCCTCTAGTAAGCACGTGGTCAAAATGGAACAAGTACAGATGAAACTTGGATTTGGCCCTTTGATTGGACCTGTTACTGAAAGTGCCAAAGTCAGCACTCTCTAACACCCACACTCTGCACCAAAGGCAAAGCCACCTCTGTATACATACATCCATGATGGACATTCGCATTTAAAAATGGATCGATTGCGTGAAAGACGATATGTGTAAGAGGGGAGTGAGCGAAGAAATTGTATATGATAGAGGAGTATGGAAGGAGAAAACATGGTACCTGGGAGAAGGGTAAGAGAATGATGATGATGATGGACATTCGCGTTTACCTATATTCATAATTCCCGGTCTCCACTCGGTACAGAGGCTCCTGCAGAGCGTTATACCCGTATTCCTCGTCATCCATCTCTTTAACCTTCAGACAGTAGGACAAGTACTCGAATTTCGTGTCCGCGTATTTCCTTATCGTCAATTTGGTGTCCGGTATAGCTTTGTTCAAGTAAGTGCCCATGTCAGACAGGATCTGAATTTTACACCATAAATAATTTTTTGGTCTATCTATTGAGTGTAAATACTGCGTAAGCCCTTTTCATTTATTAAGTTTTTTAATTAAATTAAATGNAACCTTCAGACAGTAGGACAAGTACTCGAATTTCGTGTCCGCGTATTTCCTTATCGTCAATTTGGTGTCCGGTATAGCTTTGTTCAAGTAAGTGCCCATGTCAGACAGGATCTGAATTTTACACCATAAATAATTTTTTGGTCTATCTATTGAGTGTAAATACTGCGTAAGCCCTTTTCATTTATTAAGTTTTTTAATTAAATTAAATAATCCTAAAACAATTTATTTCCTGCAAAACGATCGTATGTGTGTCTGGTGTAGTTAAGCAATAGATAAGTTACTTATAAGTACTGTCTCATCTTCCAAACTCTTAAGATCACTGTATTACAGCAGAAACAGGGTAGTTGCATCTATCTGTATTGGCTACATACATATTGACCGATACAGGATTGTTGGCATTGGAATTAGAATCTTAAGATCCCTTTCACGAGACCAATGAGAAGAGACATGGGTGCCAATAATAGAGAAAAGTTAAATATCCCCAGTTAAATATCACCAATTTGTGAATATTAAATTGGTCTAAAACTTTTTAAGCCTAAAAGTCTAAAGCTTTTATACGATAAAACATTCAATGATGGTGATTATTGAAAAAAGTGTGCGAGACAAACAACAATAATTCCTTCGCAGGTTTCAGTACCTAAATATGCAATGTGTGGCACATTAGATATAGTTCAACATACCGGCTTTAGAGTTTTCAACATTTTAATGCCGTCTCGTTCGAGCAGTCTATGATATTGACCGAACTTCGAGAAAGCCTCGGAAGCTCTAGCCTGAGGCTCTCTCACTCCGATCGCCGAGAATATATCCCCGACAGCTTTGTAAGTTTGCAGTAAATCAAAGTACGACTTTAACATTCTGAAAAGGGCCCAAAGAGTTACGATATTTGAAAGATCCCCCACTAAATTACGCATGCAAAGTGCTCTGAAGCTTTAATAAGGCTTGCATAATGGAAGCCTGTTCTATTTGCATCAAGCGTTTGGAATGTGTTGTTTTGCTAAACTTTTAAACCAGACTCAAAGAATAAGTTTCAAGGCAAGATTTCTTAAAGCAACACTGTAACCAATGCCGTTAAAGTCTTAGGGGTGGAATAGCGGCTTTGGCTACATTTGAGACATTTGAGATTCCAACATGATGACTCAAAGTGGGTGGCAATATCAACCATTCCGTTAATATCACGAGCACTAGAACAAAAGTGAATATGAACTGCAAATATAAATTCCATGCCTCTTAGAATGCTCCACGAGTCTCTTGTATGTATTCTCGGTTTCCCTCAGCTCGTCCAGTTTCGCTACCAGCGTGTCATTGCACAGTATAGCCCTCGATAATCCAAGGGCATCAGCGGCCCCCGAAGACATGTTCTCTACTAATCTGTGTTTCATCTTCTTCATGATTATATCTAGACTTTTCCCTTGTTTGGGATCGGCGTGGAGTTTGTTATAGTTTATTGTTACTTCATCCTGGAATTGTTTATTTTCTTTTACTGTCTCACTGAGCAGTGATAGAATCATATTAGTCTGAATTTTCTGGTATGGTTTTTAATAAGCAGCATCTCAGTGAAACTTAATCTTTGTAGAGGTACCTATTTTTCTAATTAAGCACGCACTTAACAAATGTTCACGAATGACTGAATGATGAAAGAATAACATCATGTAGTAATAAAGATTAAATTAAAAAAAAAGTATTTGTAATATAGTTGAGGCTCAGACCTCAAGCGTCAGGATGAGTAGCGGCATTCGCATTAGTAATATCACGAGAGCTGTGACATATCCTTCTTCAAACGAGGCTTATGAAGAGTACTCAACGGTAGGCAGCGGCTTGGCTCTGCCCCTGTCATTGTTGATGTCCATGGGCGACGGTAACCACTCACCGTCAGGTGGGCCGTACGCTCGTCTTACTATTAGGGCAATCTATACTAATATTATAAAGAGGAAAGATTTGTTTGTTTGTTTGTTTGTTTCGAATAGGGTCCGAAACTACTGGACCGATTTGAAAAATTCTTTTTCCATTAGAAGCCGACATTGTCCCTGATGAACATTTTTTTTTTTTATTTTTTTTTTTGCTTTCATGTGTGTTTTAATGTTTCCGAAGCGAAGCGAGGGCGGGTCGCTAGTAATATATAAAAAAAGAAATATAAACGTATTTTATCCTAAAGTCCTGAGCGAATAAAGGAACGTCTCACCTTGGCCGACTGTATCATTTTCGCGACCTCAACTTTGGTTTTTCCTTTTACGGACTGCCCATTGACACCGACCAGCTCGTCACCGCTCTGCAGGGTGCCTTCCTTGGATGCTGGAGTGTTGTCGAATATCTCAAAAACACACAAAAGATACAAGTTCATGATCTTGCTACTCGACGAGATCAATAAGCATTAATGCCGGTCACCATCCTCGTCGAACCCGTCGCCTGCGACGAAGGGCTCGACGACCGAATTGACCCATAGACACAGACAGCCCACTGAGTTTCTCGCCGGATCTTCTCAGTCGGGTCGCGTTTCCGATCCGGTGGTAGATTCTGCTAAGCACTGCTCTTCCTAGGGCCAGTGTTAGCAACACTCCGGTTTGAGTCTCGTGAGCTCACCTACACGTTAGGTTGAAGCTGAAATAGCCTCTCAAGGCTATCAGCATAGGTAAGAAAAAGAAAAACTTTACATTCTAACTTATTTAAAGGTTACCACATCACTGGTACGGTCTCTGGCTTATACCATACCTGTACGATGTAAAGGCATGGACACAATGGAGCTCCACCACCGATGCTGATACCTATCAAGTTCTTTTCATCTTTACTCAGCACGACGCTACCAGACGTCACGATCATACCCCTAAAAATGTTTAACGGTTACACGCTCGAAGGAATTGTTACTGAAGCTAAATTAGAGTATAGGCAAAGGTTTCTTTGAGTTTGTCTTCTCGCCGGATTTTCTCATTGGGTCGCGTTTCCGATCCGGTGGTAGATTCTGCGAAGCACTGCTCTTGCTAGGGCCAGTGTTAGCAACACTCCGGTTTGAGCCCCGTGAGCTCACCTACAGGTCAAGGAGAAGCTGAAATAGCCTCAGCTATCAGCATAGGTAGGAAAAAAAGAGCTTGTCTTCTTGCGCACTTCTTAGCTAAAGAACAGATTGTCAATTGCCAGGCAATGCCTGGGTGATGTCTTTGAGTTCCGGTCACCGCTTAACTCCAGGTTCGATCCTTCAATCGTATTAAGCAATAATAGAAATTGTAAATTCACTGAAAACTTCTCGAATAAAATTGAATAAAACATTTTGAACTAATCTCGTATTGCTCAGTGATTGATTTTAGTTGTGTTGGCAACTTCTTCACGTGTATGTATGAAGTATACTTATCGGCACAATTTTTTTTTTGTAGAGATGTAAATACCTACGCTATGCAAATATTACTAGCCCAATCCATGAGCTTCAAATGGTCATGAGCTATGTATTATATTTATGAAATAGTTTCTCGTGTAGTCTCTTTATTATTAAAGACCACATAATATCTAATATAAATAAATAAAGGATATGAATAAATCGAAAACGTTTCACTTCTAGCGGGCGAAGTAACTAATGACGTCATTGCCAACTCAAAACGGCCTTGCCAAAGAGATAGCATGATATGCCCAGTACACTCACACCCTTACAGCTAACTACGAAATATTGATACATCAATAATTTTTATAAGTAGGTATTATTTATAAGTATTTGTCGTTATTAGTAAATTAATATGCACAATAAAACAAAGGGCACATCACTTTTTAGAATAGGTATAAATGTAAATGAGCAACTGTGGTAACTAAGGGAATAAAACTTCTTTGTTATTTATTTACATTTTTATTTAGATAGCGAGCATTACACATACACATACAGATCTACTTTCTACAGTAACAACAAGCTTGGAAGGTGAGGAATTAATTAGATTACGTAGCATTTTGGGGCTAAGAAGTGCTTTCATCGCAGAAGTTGCCACTCCATATGCGCAGAAGACGACGGAGCTTGAGGCCGAAAGCGCTTTTCTAACTGCCCTTGTGCCAGGGACAAGAGGGGGGTTTTCCCGACTCTTGTGATGTTCAAAGCGGTAACCAACTTAATCACTGATAACGATATCATTTTACTTCGACGATACGACGAAAACCGTTGCGCAACATTGCGGCTTCATACGGATCGTGGTGATTCTTAATCTTAAAGCAGATGCCTAATTTTTAAATTATTCAAAATGGATACTCCAAATACATTTGGCTTGAAGAAAATTCATGAATATAAGAGTAATCTTTGCAAAACGTAGATTCGTCTTTACGGTTTCACTGTGGAGGATTAGGCCACTGAATTTGTCGTTCATTTCACGGTGACTTCATCAACTCCGCTATACAGCCAAGCGATCATGCGGATGATTTCTTTTAAAAAACCGGTGCTGGCTTTGTGCTTACACGACTACACCAGGAAAATTTAGCTATCAAATAGTGAACGAGCGAATTAGATCTTTCTCAATTTCGGCTCACATTAAATCCTGATGCTGCACCATATACCTCTCGCGTCTTGACTCGTTGTAAACGCAATCTGTCGTTTCTGAAGGCTCTGGGTCTTCTCTGTATAAAAAATATTATAAAATCTAGCAATTGGTTTTTGAAGTGAAAACTTCTTTAGAATCGTTGTGATTTCAAACCGGATGCAACGGAAAAAACGACAGGTAAGAGACACAAATACAAAAATGTGTAGGATGAAGCCAGCAAAGAATGAGACAGAAATATACATACTATTTAATACAGCGCCATCTGTGCGATTTTTTAATACTAACGTGTGTATGAAAGCTCTTGTAGTGAATTTTAATTTAGGATTATACGTGAAATTAAAATATCAATTCACAGAGGGCGCTACCTTACAATTATTTACTAATGACAAAATTTTACATATACTTAAGACGTTTAGGATAATTGTATTTTAATTTTGGAAGGTTTCACTTCTACCACGTGTGAATTGCACACATGTATTTTTTATTTAGCGAGCGATTGCTTGGTGTGCCTTTTGAAGATAATTTGGCGAACTAAAGGGTTAAAAGGGCTAAACTGAAGGAGGGAAAGGTTTGTTAACAGCTGCCCGGGCGCCTCCAGAGGAGACCTAATAGTTCAAGGCCAGCTGCTCTGTAAGTGCATCTAACATCGGATCGAAGATCTTTAATCTTGTTTTTTTTTTTCAAAAATATAATTGATGGCATTACGTATTTTGTTACTCTAAATAAACAGAAGAGCTCTGTTGGCTTGCAATCTATTACGTAGAATTTACCAGAGTTAAGAAAATAAACAATAAAAAGAAAAAATCAACGTCACTTCAAAGTTATGTCATCCGCTCTAACACAATCTGTCAGGACTGCATTCTTATAGCGGCCGGACTATAGTTGCATCTCATTCTCTCCTCACATTTCACACTCTCCTTGTAATGCCTATATTCTATCTACTTGCCTATTTTTACAGCAAATTAATCACGAGTTTGGGTTTCAAGGGGTAGGAAACCTCGCAGTTTCCAACAGTGTCGGTTTGCATGGCGTTTAGCGGCAATCCATTTGCCGATTTAAAAAAAACGCGTATATATTGACGTATTAAAAATACAGATTACAGAGGGTTGCTTTTTTTTAAATTTTACTGTACAACCCTACTAGAGCTTAATAAACTTTTTTTTAATTAAGTACTTTTTAAAATAGTGCAGGAAAATAAATGACCTGTTATTTTCATTGACTTATTGATCCCTTGTGTGGTACACAGCAATGATTGGGGATTTTGTCCATAACTACTTACTTATATGGATGTGTCACGTTGTTTTGAGTTCCTTCAGTATGTGTAGGAGCACTGAATTAAGAAAAAAAAACATGAAAAATATATGAATGTTTTTTTTTTTAAATATACCAAATAAAAATACTTACTTTTCATCTATCGCCAGCAACAAATTATTATCCATTTCACATTCACTCGATATTCTGACGTGAGAAAAAATATGAAATAATTGCTTATTATAAACATTAAAATGAATATAGAATCAATATTGTTTTACTTATATGAGAGTTGATTTGCAGTTATAATCCGTTACGTATGAATTCACTCGATTCTCTTCATACAATAGAGAAGTTAATTTATCTATGAATTAATAAAATTTGCAAGAAACACAACATAAGATATTCAAGAACTCAAATCTTAGACGCAAAAAAGACGCGTTAATGCTTTACAGCATTTTTTAATGGTTTCATTTGCTATTATTATATAATTGCTGCTTTCAAATTCGCATATTTACGTAACATATTGTGTTCATGGTATTGTGATAACGTTCCATTGATTATTATTCATCACTTTCTTCATTGACACGACACGAAAAAGAATATTAAGACTTTAAAGTATGGTAGTCAGGGTCGGGTGAAAAAAAAACAGAGAGATCAATGAAAGTGTCAAAAAAAAAAACAAATAAAAAAAAAATTACATTCGATCTTCGAACGTACACCGCGCCATGGTGTCGTGCAACAGCGGGTAAATCCTTGGATCGAAATACAGTTCGTTTTGCTGCCACATCGATAACGGACGAACTCAAACATAAGATAAGCTGAAACGGCACAGGAAAACACTGATAAACAAAACTTTATGCAAGGACAAGTGAATATGACACGAAACAATGAAACCTTTTTATGTTGATTCTGTAAGCTTTTTACAATTTTTGAAAAAAAAAAAAAACGAAGTTGAAGAGCTCTGCAGATTTTTCCCTAATTTTGGGAAATTGTGTACGCATCATTTTCCGGTTTAATCTTTCGAAGGAGTTTTGTGCACTCGAGTTAAAAACAAACTCGAAAATATTATTATTTTGCTTGAATAAAACCAATATTCATACTTGTGGGTCATGAGAATATGCCCAATTATGATCTGGAACTTTTGCTACAAGCATTCTGCCTCATTGCTTATAATGAAATTAAGAAATTTGTGACTTATGTTACATTGAGGTTGATACGATTTGATCATATCTATGGTTGTGATTTTCGCGGTAATCACTGAAAAATACCTGTAGCGAAGATGGTACGCTTTGAAAAAAAAAAAAAAAAGCAAAGCATTTAAAACAGCCCTAAGAAAATAGTTGGAAAAAATTCACTAACGAATAAGTGTAGTATAGTGCATATGATTCGAAATCTTTAAGTAGGATTGGTCCTGAAATATTCGAGGAATAAATGCTATTACTGTGACTAAAAAGATACTGGTAATTAATGTGAAAAATTCATAGTTTTCTTGTAAAGTCAATCATTAATTTACGTTATGATAATGATCAAGGCAAATAAAAGACTAAGCTAGACTAATGATTACACAGTAAATATCTATTTCATATATGTAAAAATTTTAAAACATTTTGCACTTTACGTGCGTCGTATACCTACTATTCGAGTTTTCAATAAATAAAATCTCTAAACATTATTTTATATTACGGTAGTTCGTGACATATTTAAAATAACATTACTTACATTTTATCCTCTTCAAATAAAAAGTCGTCTTCATATTCTTGCATCATTTTTACAATATTATTGGATTAATGTTTAGATTTGATTAAAACAGATCCGTGTCGTGCCTTTGTCAAAATTATTGATTTTAGCGCGCCTCGCGTTTGACGTGTTGAAATGTCGCTAAAACAGCACTAACCAATAGGCGTCCTGTTTGAAAAAAATGGCGGCTGTTTTAAATGTAAAAAGTATTGAACTGCTGTTTGAGTTTATGGATTTCGTGTATATATAGTCCCTTATGATAATTGTGTTTCAAGTTAGTAAAATGGAATATGTTATAAAATCTTAGTCTTTATAAATGTATAAACTAATTTGGTATACACAAATTCCAACGCCTTATTTATTTCTTTTAAATATTAAAATAAATATTAAGTGTTTTACATATGCACTAAAGGCGTTTGGTTTATCCATCACGTTTTGTTTCCCTTTTCAAGAGGTAGAGAGGTGGGCTGACGAGTTCTAGGCTCACTTGCTATATAGTGGTATTTATATTTATTTCGCAACAAAAATGGGCACGCAGTGGTATCCAATGCGAACTTGCAACTTTCTAACATCAGTATTATTATTATTTTTATTAGCGGCTTCAAAATTGGGGAATTAGGTTTAATAGGTCCAGTTTTCTTATATCCATCGTGTCACTAACTCGGGGAGATGTATCGTCTGGATAAATAATAAAATCTACTGAGCTAGTCAAATCTTTTTACTCATTATATTACCGGTATGCATATATTATATTCTTACAAGATACGAAGCAAGCTCTAGCAAAATGTATTACACAAACACCTTACCAATTCAAATGTACAAAAAAAAAAGAACACAAAAGAACTTTTACGTAACAACGCGAGGTTAAAGTTATTATTTAAAAATTGCGAATAATTATCCTATATTATTTATGAGACGCGATCAACGAAACTGGTAGACATCGGTGTTTTAGTGATGGGAAATATTAGGAGTGGAATTTCGAATAGGTGATAATGTATCGATTTTTTCTTTATTCTTTTCTAAATGAGTATACGACGTTTGTGCGACTCTAATTAGGTAATTAGGTGTGCCTAAATATAAACGGTCCCTGTCACCCATGGACATCAACAGTATCGGGGAAAACAACCACAACAATATAACTAAACCGCTACATATTGGACGTTTCTATTTGGTTTTAAGGGCTATCGGTTGCTACTTAGTACGATGTTGTCTTTTTCTGATAATTCCAATGAAGTAAAAAGCTATACTTTACGATCTGCTTAAAGGTAGCTGATGTCACGATGATATACCACTGTTAATCACAGCACAATTCCCACTGTCTTGCGTTTTGTTTCATCAATACTAAAACTTTTTGTGTTTTTATTTTTTAAAATTTATTACTTAGATAGGTGGACGAGCTCGCAGTCCACCTTGTGTTCAGTGGTTACTGGAGCCCATAGACATCTACAACGTAAATGCGCCACCCATTTTGAGATATAAGTTCTAGGGTCTCAAGTATAGTTACAACTCTTGCCCTATCCTTCAAACCGAAACGCATTACTGCTGAAGCAGTATAGTTACAACTCCTGCCCTACCCTTCAAACCGAAACGCATTACTGCCGTGAACGGCAGAAATAGGCGGGGTGGTGATATCTACCCGCTCGGACTCAGAAATTTTCTGATAATTCCAATGAAGTAACAAGCTATATTGTACTATGTGCTTAAAGGTAGCTGATGTCACGATGATATACGGCTGCTAATCAAAGCACAATTCCCCCTGTCTTGTGTGTTTTGTTTCACCAATTATAAAACTTTTTGTGTTTCTAGAAGCATCACTTAGACGTAGGATTAACTAATCTCGTTTTGTTTAAAAATGTTTGTGTAAGATATTTAAAGAATGATCAACAAATTGGCGTGAAGTTATCGCTTTAAGGCCAATGTTGTCTTGGGCGATATCTGGAACTTACTGCTATGACCGCAATGCAGTGCCTGAGATATGAAGTCGTGGCCTCATTTGCATTGAGACAATGGTTTATTACATTCATATAACAGATTGAACTTTATCGGTAGCAATGTATAATTCTAATAATCGAAAATCCATAATCGATAACCCAGAGTACAGCCCTATGTAAGTGACGTAATATCAAAGTATGAAGTAACTGAACTATTTTTTTTTTGTAACGCAAAAGTTGCAGTGTACAACCTGAGTCAGTCGTGGCGTGTCATGCGACCGTTCCATTAGGTTAACTTTAAAATATTACAATAGTGTTACCAGCGTTGGAGAGAAGTTTTTTTTTTTTAAAAAGCTAACGGACCGTGTTTAGTATGCTTTTTTTTTATACTGACGCATTTTCAAAAATAATGAAGAGTTTTTTTGTGATTGTGAGTATGATTTTTGTTTTCTTATTTTTTTTAGGTATTTTTTAATTATTTTCCTTACAGTCCTTTCAATTCGTGTTGTGACTATTAAAGTTTAATGAAGTTTGTAAATGAAAAGTGTAGTGGTCCAAACTGTCATTAAGATGGCATACGGCTCGTATCGAATATTGCTTTCTTCATGCAATATTCAACTTATTTAGCAATTAAATTTAATGACGATACTAGTTATATAGACTTGTAAAACCGGATAATTGCTTTCCGCTAAATACGGGTCTTTCACAAATCGTTAAAGAAATATTATAATGTTTTGTAACTTTAATTGATAGATGTTTATTTTAGAAAATACTTAGTTTAATTTTTATAAAATAAATTATTAAAAATTAATAATAAAAAATAGTTACCTTAGTTTTCCGTATGCGGTTCAAACTAGTCTTGGAATAAATTAAACAGGTCATATAGTTCACATCACATTCGTCCAAGAGAAAATGTCCTCAAGGATTGGTAATACCGTATTTCTGGTGCGTATAATTTACGTAGGTAGGATAAATTTGATAACATACTTACTTCAGGATTCGTAGAAGCCGCTCAACATCAGATGAGCCGTGAGCTTGTTCGTTAATTTACGCAAAAATAAACTGGTCGTGTGATATAATATCCCATTTGTTTTTGTCACATAATAAAAAAAAGTTTATGGACTGTATTCTGACTCACGGACGACTACAAGGGAAAAAAAAAATAGTTTTTCAATTTGATATTTAAGGAATGAATACAATTATCATTTCTTTTATTCAATAAATATTGATATCGATGTGTGAAAGACTATTTAGTTTAAGTTTTGAAGTCGTCGTGGCCTAAAGGATTAAGATCTCTGGTGCATTCGTGTTGAGCGATGCATCGGTGTTCGAATCTCAGGCGGGTACCAAATTTTCTAATGAAATACGTACTTAACAAATGTTCACGATTGACTTCCACGGTGAAGGAATAACATCGTGAAATAAAAATTAAACTCGCAAAATTATTATTTTGCGTAATTACTGGTTGTAGGACCTCTTGTGAGTCCGCACGGGTAGGTACCACCACCCTGCTTATTACTGCCGTGAAGCAGTAATGCGTCTCGGTTTGAAGGGTGGGGCAGCCATTGTAACTATACTTGAGACCTTAGAACTCATATCTTAAGGTGGGTGGCGCATTTACTTTGTAGATGTCTATGGGCTCCAGTAACTACTTCAAGTGGGCTGTGAGCTCGTCCACACATCTAAGCAAAAAAAAGTGAAATTTTTGTAACTTTACCGGAGAGTCATTTAAAGTTTAAAATTTGGAAATAATGTCATAACAAAAAACTTCTTCAACTATTCGAATGGGGTAAACTTAAGTTAAGTTAAATTAAAAACATAGAATTGTCGATACTAATACCAAATAAAACAGATCTTTAATTACCGAGAAAAACGTCGCGTATTAAATGAAATCTCGCTTAAGCCAGAGCTAGTTAGCTCTTTACCCCTCGATATGGAAACTTAGACGACGGTTTAGAATTTTCATAATAATATAGTGGTTCCAATACATTTCAAATTTTGAGCTCATATTTGAAGGTAGTATGTCATTGCCCTATACATATATGTTGTGGTGATTATTACATCTGGCAACATCAGCTTACACCACCAGTTCCTTGATCAAAGTATACCAAAAAAAAATTATTAATAACGAAATTAATATTAAATTCCAGATTTTTCTATACGGCCTTCTTCAGCCGGGCACTGCGCAGACCGGTCTGATAGGTAGTTTCGTCCGGACAAATCTAATCGGCTATCCGGTTATCCACGACAAGGCGGTCTGGAAATTCGACCCGGACGTAGCCAAGAAACGGAGGGAGCAGTTCATAGAATTGCACGGGGATAAAGGAGAGAGATTAATCGAGCGGCTCGGCTTGGGCATCGATGGTGACAGCGGACGGAGGCTGGAGGACCAGAGGAAAAGAGATGAAGGATATCTAGGTGGCATTAACGCGTTTTTTGCCATAAATTCAATGGCTTAGTCCAATATATCATTGAAACTAGACTGAAACTTTCCAATAACTTATTACGAAACTAGCTGACCCGGCAGACTTCGTAGTGCCTCAATCGATAAATAAAATACCTAAAGTATTGTATAAAATAAACTTAAAACAAAAAAAGGAATCCGTCCATCGAGGGACACATCAAAGGGAAAACAAAATTTAATTTCGAGCATTTTCATATTCATCTTACTTATCTTATTTTACCTTTTAAACCTTCGAATTCGACTTTTACGAATAATTCAAGACCAAAATTAGCCAAATCGGTCCAGCCGTTCTCGAGTTTTAGCGACACTAACGAACAGCAATTCATTTTTATTTAAATACATATTTTAAATTTTTGCGACTGTACACTTCTTACCACGATTTTTGGTTGTATTGTACTGTCGATATTTCGACATTGATAATTTAACCCGTTAGATAATAGTATTTATATTTTATTTCACGTTTTATTGTAATAAAACCATAAATAAAATTGGTATTTAATTCGGAACTTGGTTTAAGGGCAGCTAACCACAAATACTTATTTAGTGCGATTATAGTAGGTATAAAGTGTACAATATAATAAAATTAAATGGATTTAAAAAAGAAAAGAATTAAAAGCAAATATGGTATTAACTTTTTTTGTTGGGAAAAACCGATAATGTTACAACCTCTTTGGTAAGTTTCATTAGATCTATCGCTCAAGGCCCTAAGATGTCTTAACTTTGAGAAGTTTTCTACGAATGTTTGATGCAATTATAATAACTGAGTATTGTAGCTTATGTTAAGGAAAACATTGAATTCGTGAGTCGACTTGTCGAATCGTTGTTTCTGGAAACAGTAGCTCAATTTGGGTGTTAATGACATTGACATTGAAAGCCGATCACTTTGCAGAATTCGCTGGTTTAGAAAATTAGCAGTGTCCCTTAAAATTCATGCGTGATCTTTCTAAGTAAGAAACATAAAATAATAATGGTGGACAATAAATCTTTACGTACTTAAATTTTTAATTTTGTTCCTTTTATCAGAGAATTATTTACACTGGCAATCTTTAATGTACTTTTATTAATATAAAATAAAAATGGTGGACGATAAATCCTATTTACATAACTTTTTTATTTTGTTATTTTTGTCAGAGAATTAATTACACTGACAATCTTCAACTAAGTTTTTTTTTTAAATAATTCATTATTGACGTGACTTTTTTTTAAATTGTCTTGTGTTTACATTGCAACTGATAATAATAATAAAAAATACGCATTTTATGTAATATATATCATCCTCCGTCCTCTCCGTTATCTCTACTGTTAAAAATGTATATAACATATTATATTATGTACCTATGTATGTATGGTATACATATTACGGAGCCGTGTTTCACAGATGGCGTAGGTAATAGCGATGTATAATGTAGATAGTAAAAAACCAATTTTCTTTCTTCTCCTAATTTCTAAGTTGCGGGGCGAGTTTACGCAGATAAAACTGTCCTAATGTTCCAAAGAGAGATGTAGCAATTGATAATTGAATGCGAATATAAGACGTGAACTGGAAAGTGCAGAAATTTTATGGAAAATGTAACAAAGTTCCAGAACGGGTTTTTCCAAAAATATCACTACAAAAGTTTTAGTGAATTTCCACCGTTTAACTGAGACATTATTTCATTTAATCTCATCTAAGGTCCTTTCAATTTAATTTCAATTGATTTAATCGTAATCGATTATAATTTCAAATAAATCAACCTCATCAAACTTAATTCCAAATTAAATAGAATTTCAATGGGAGATATTTTTAAATTCGCCACAGGCAACAATGGAGTCCCAGGAAGCCGATTGCCATACTGAAAAAAAGAAGAAGACGTGGATTTGAGTTATTCATAAGCGTCAGAAGTTTTCTAAATGACAGGGATAACAGTATCGCCATAAACGCATAGGTACCTGATAAGAAAAAGATTTAAAAAAGAAAGTTTTATTTTAAAAAACTAAATAAAATTACGTTGTTTAATGTAGGTTTGGGGTAGGTGGTAGGTTTTTAATATCGCATAGTAATATCTGGATATCACCATCCCTAAAAATCAAAAAAAATATATATTAAAATTATTATAAGTATCCAAAAAATAAGTATTTTCTTCGACTTTCCCGGGTCGCAGATGCCTTTTTTAATGTCATCATAATTCCGTGGCTAAAGTGATATTCGCCGACATTTGTATATTGTGCGAACTAATGTGAATAAATTACTATAATTATTTAAAAAAATGTCTGTATTTATTTTTCAGGTTGACCATATTTTTTTTATTGTATACCAAATTTAAATGCTAATAGTATGATTACGTAATCACTGGTGGTAGGACCTCTTGGGAGTCCGCACGGGTAGGTACCACCACCCCGCCTATTTCCGCCGTGAAGCAGTAATGCGTTTCGGTTCGAAGGGTGGGGTAGCCGTCGTAACTATACTGAGACCTTAGAACTTATATCTCGAGGTGGGTGGCGCATTTACGTTGTAGATGTCTATGGGCTTCAGTAACCATTTAACATCAGGTGGGCTGTGAGCTCGTCTATCCATCTAAGCAATAAAAAAAAAAAAAAAACGTCAGAAGTAAATGTAGTTTGAATTTCATTAAATTTCAAAGATGCTTCTTCAGTGTTGTGAGAATATCCAAAACGTATCTTTTTGTTTCGCGTTTGCGTGTACTACTTACGAAAATTATACAGTTTTGTAAGATTTCACGTGTTGAAATATATGTTCTTCAAGGGTAGTAGAAATGTTGCTACGTATAAGGCGAAGGTTATGTTGCGAGCGTTTTTATTACTAACCTTTTGTTTTTCAAGTCTATTAACGTTGTAGCTAGGGAGGGTAGGTAGAGGTAAGAAGTTAAGTCTTATATTGGGGATAAGTGGAAAAAGTGTCCAAGGTGAAAACCCATCGAACGCCAAGCATAGCTAGTGATTATTACTGGTGGTAGGACCTCTTGTGAGTCCGCGCGGGTGGGTGCCACCACCCTGCCTATTTCTGCCGTGAAGCAGTAATGCGTTTCGGTTTGAAGGGTGGGGCAGCCGTTGTAACTATACTGAGACCTTAGACCTCATATCTCAAGGTGGGTGGCGGCATTTACGTTGTAGATGTCTATAAGCTCCGGTAACCACTTAACATCAGGTGGGCTGTGAGTACGTCCACAATGTGGGCATGGCAGAGCTGTAGAGATAAGGTGGCAGTGTTTGTTCTTCTCAGTCGGACATTTTTGTCAGAGTGGTCGTGGTTGCTCTGACGCTGTATGTGTAGAAGGACCCGTTAGGTCACCTATGCTCCCGAGGACCGCCCTCCGGGCAATGCGCTTCCAGATTTTTTTTTCCTACCTAAGCTGAGAGCCTTGGGAGGTGAGCTCACGGGGCTCAAGCCTGAGGATGTTGCTACCACGAACCCTAGCAAGAGCCGTGCTTCGCAGAATCTACCGCCGGATCGGAAAGCGACCCACGGAGAAGATCCGGCGAGAAACTCAGTTGGCTGTGTCTGTGGGTTAATATGCTCGTCGAGCCCTTCGTCGCAAGCGACGGGTTCGACGAGAACGATGACCGGTGCTTGAGGTACCTAAAAGCACCGTTAGTGGATCGGGAGGATCCGAAATGACGTGTTGGGGGCGACTTCGACTGCTTTCCATTCTGTCCGCAGGATAGGGACGCTTCCAGTGCGCTTAGTGCGAATTTTATAACGTTCTCGATAGCGTAAAAGTTAAATCAAATTTGTATGGATTTGGAACGTTTGCCGCTAGGGGCGCTGTTCCAACTGCATACAAAACTTGGGTTACTTTTACGCTATCGAAAACGTTAAATAACTCACACTAAGCACACAGGTCTGGCTTCTATTCGTTCTCTTCGGTTCTCTGGTTCGAAGCGTTTCGAGTACATTCGACCATCGTGGACTCAGTTGCATTATTTATTAGGTCAGTCCAGCGGGTTGGCGATGATCTCCTGCCTTCCACCCGGCCTTGGATTACCAGTCTCTCCATCGAGTTTTTGTTAGTTGTGTTTTTTTCATTACTAGAGGTCCCGCAGTAGTCGAAATTCGACTATAATTAATTGGAATTGTCAGTTTGTACACTATTATGATTGTATTTTATACTTCTATAATCACAAATTTCGCCAAGACTACACAATAAAAAATATTAACAAAGACAAACAATATTTAATCTATTCTCAATTCGACCACAGACGTCAAGAACAAAAGTTTGACAATAAATAGTATGCATGCGTGTTTGCGTCAAATACATGGTATGAAGTGTGTGTAATGTTTTCTTTATTGATTTAATGTATCTTTTATGCATTCTTTTAAAAAAAATACTAGCATTGTGCACTTCTTCTCTATATTCTGTATAAGTGTGGAAAATTTCATACTCCTCCGTCCGCGCAATTTTCGTAAAAAGGGATGCAAAGTTTTTGCTTCACGTATTAATATATAGATTATTAGATGGTGTAGACACCCTACCACAAGTAAGCCCGCTACAGCTCATCACTATGGCCGTGTCTGGCTAAAGTCACCGCATTAAATTCCAGCGAATGCGTGTTGCATAATAAATTATAACTTTAACGTTTTATTGGACCTGGGACCTTGGCTCTATTAAACTAGTAACGTGCTGTTGTAGATCTGGTCACAAAATTGCGTTAGCATTAATCGCCACCGATTTTCATCAAACATAAATTAATTTACAATTAATGCATATTGTTAATACATTAACTGTATGTAACTGTATACAAATCGATTTGTGATTTAAGCCTTTGCAGTTTTGAGAGGTTATCGTCTATCTCTTTCCCGCAACGTGTACAATCAATACGTCATTTATTTATTCGTCGAAGAGTTTGATGTGGGCTTGAGTTCGTAGTATCAGCCCTCTGAGTTTATAGCAGGATCTTCGCAGTATGTCACATATTTGGTGTTTTTACAAATTTATTATTTATTCCCTATCTATTCGATGGAAGCCTAAGAGGCTATTCCAGCTACGCCCAGATGGGTAGGTGAGCTCACAGGCTGAACCTGAGAGAGTTTGTTAACACTGACCCTAGCAAGAGTAGTGCTTCGCAGAATCTACCACCGGATCGGAAACGCGACCCACTGAGAAGATCCGGCGAGAAACTCAGTGAGCTGTGTCTATGGGTTAGTTC